TGACCCTTTCAGTCAGATGGCTTATTGCTATCACTATCCGTATGGTGCCAGCCCCCTGGGACCAGAGGGGCAGGATCAATATGGGGTCAGATGAGCTGAATTGTCAACAATCTTCTTCAGAACTAAACATATTAACATTTATTTGCCATCAGAAATTTTATCAAGATTGTGCATTCATGACCTTAGGGTTTCTCTCAGAAAGTTTACTATGGTTTATATTGAACGATGATATTATAAGATAGATCAATTGCCACTGAAAATGTTTAAATTATAAGCAAAGGATAATGGTCTGACCATCTATACTATGCAAATATTGATTTTGACTGGCATGCTGGGTTTGTTGTGCAGTGCCCAAATGAGTCAAATTAACTAAAATTCCAAATATTTCAGATTGGGTAAACACCAATGCTTTTTTGTGGAGTTACAAAAATTATGAATTTCATATCTCAGAGTCTCACATTACCCCAACTTAAATATAAATTTTAGTTTTTAAAGGAACTAAATACTTTATTGCATGCTTGTTAGATTCTTTTTCATGAAATTTATCCTTTGTTAGAATCATAACTCGTAAGAAGATAATTTGTTAATTTATGCTTACTGTTCCTTATAAACCCGTAATTAGGTGGGGGCCAAATGTGTCAAATCGATTAGTCTTTTTTCTCATAGTATGACCCAAAAATGGTAGATTCAAAAAGTCTCATTGATTGAAGGGTCTTCAGGAATATTACCAGATATTATATATCTGTTTTGATACTTTTGATCGCAGGTGTCAACGTCAATCCCTTTTCTTAGTTTATTTATGGAAATAACTGGCTTTTTATTGGAGCTGAACATAATACTAATACATAATATGTTTAGGTAATGTTACTTGCATCGGCAAATTGCTCTTGAAAGTTTACATAACATAGTTATAGCTGATTTAATTTTGAAACATTGAAATAGCCTAAACTTTTAGATATTGTCATACAACTCAAAAAACTTTTGCTTGAACTTCGACATAATGTAGTCTGATTAAAATAAGATATCAGAACTTGAACATGCAGATAATGTGACTGATTTAATGAATTAGAACATATTTGTCCTTTCGCTAAATGGATACTTTTAGTTTCATAGTCAACCTCCTCGTATCATTTGATAAGCCTTGATATCAATGTTCAATGTTTTCTTGGATTATTAGCTCACCTGGCCAAGAATATAAGTAGGAATAATTGGATTTTGCCCAAATTTGGTCGGAATCATGTTTTTGTGAAGGAGAATCAATTTCGTAGAAAATATTGATCTCAGTCACCTTGGGCAGGAGGGGAGAGGCTTGCTCAATATTGGAAAATCTTTTTGAAAATGGTTTAGATACCAATTCCATGACCATATATAGCAAAGATGAGGATTTGAAGATAAACACAATCATGCTGTAAGAATTGGCGCCGGGGTCTGGCCTCAATTCCATTGTAATATCAAAATAAAGACAGCCATGATTTACCTATTGGTCTTGTCCCATCACAGAGGTTAAGTGAATAAGCTTTGATTTAGAAGTATTTGAAATACCTCACCGATCGGCATGCTTACTTCAGTCCCAGTTTATCACTGATAAACCCTGTTAAGTCAAAATAAACAAACCTTAATCACTACAACAAGTATATATCTTTTAATGTAGGAAGTTCATATACATTTTTATAAGAATTGACAATTACTTATATATAATAATATATATTAATCATTATCGACTTTTTGCATTCGAAATCATCGCAAAGAAAACAGTATGTAGTTGAAAATGGATATTACCTAAGTCACCTTTATACAAATATTTTATGTCCTGTTCTAGTCGGACCTGACAGTGTGGATATAACCGGGAACAGAGTTGTGGTGGCCGACAGTACCAATACTCTGACTTTGACCTGTAGAACACCGGAGTACAACAGATACGTACACATTACATGGTACAATGATACATCACAGATACTTAACACAGCAGTTGTCACCAACACATCAGGCAGTTACGGAGGTTTGATATCTACACAGGTCTTCCAACTCACACCTGACAGATACCAGGACGGTAACATGATCAGGTGTGTAGTCCAGAACGAGGATGTGACACTTGGTGGAAAGTCAGCATCAAGTACACTGGATATTCAATGTAAGTTATGAAGGTTTGCTAACTTTACCTGAAAATGTAACTTACTACTTACATAGATTTACGAGGCAGAAGACGCTTACACTAATACATGGTCTTATACTCCTGGTACTTTATTCAGGAGTTTCTGTTTAAATCTTTCCATTGTTCATATTTGTTTCTTGTTTTATAAAGTTTGACTTAAGATTATTATTTTATTGACATCTTGGTATTTTCCTGTTGTTGTATAGGTGAACTTTCCATTATTATATGATGTATATACATTTTTGTTTTATCAATTCTTTTCATAATAGAGAACATATAGCTGAATCATTACATTTCACAATTGCTCATCGTTGAAATTCATATTATATCATATATATATCATTTCTCCCCTGGGTATACGAATAGCAATACAAGATATCATTTTTGGCAAAGTAAGCTTAACATAACGCATCTCTTCTTGTAACAGAAGTAATGACAAATAAAAATTGATAACTTCGGAGAAAGCCAGAAGCAGTTCTCATGAGATAAGCTGTGCAAATTTTGGTTTTAAATGCTGTGGTATACAACTTTGTGGGTTATATAGTGAAAACCTTTTTGTGATCCTCAACTGGCCTTTGATATAAATATATTGACCCACCATTATGAGAATTGACGGTCGGTTTATCAAATCAGGTTCGACATTTGACCGTCCATTGTCAGTCGTATGTTGTCAATCATCCATTATTCATCTTTTCACTGATTGTATTTTTTGTATACCTGTCATATTCAAGGAACTGTTTTATGGTACGTGTAAGAGATTCGTCTGTTTGCCTTGAAATTTTATTTGTCAGGAAACTTCATATCACAGTTCCAAACTTAATTTTACAATGACATGAAATTGTTTTTCTGGCAAGCAGTTTGGTTTGTCTGTATTTGGAAGTGTAACTGGTCTATGTTTTCCTTTCACTTTTGACAATACATATTACAACGAAAAACTTATTCATACTGCAGGTGTGAATATGAATATATATGTGAATAAGAACGTTTTGATATGAGAGCTGAAACATCTAGTTGAGAAATGCATGCCCCATGGACCAATTGTTTTATAACATTATAAATAAGGTTTCCTTGTTTATTGATGTTACCATAGGATTAAATACCGGTCACCACGTCATATACTGGAGAGTAAATGCAAGGAAAAGACGAGAGAAAAAAAGAATCTATCCAACTTATAAATAATATACCAATGTACTAATATCCTCCTTTCGGGATCTCTTGTATATTTTCTCTGTATCATAAACTGATTCCAACTAACAGCAACAGCCAAAGTACTGGATCCTGCAAGATAATGAATCATCAATGATTAAGACTTTGACAAAACTATCCATTTTTGCAATCAGTACCATGCCGTTGTAGGGAACCCAGCCAAATATGTGGTCGATTTCAGACAAATTTCTTTCGTCTTTTGATTACTAAAATTTATGTTACAGACCGGCCATACCTGACCTTGACCCCGACACCTGGAGCGACGTTGATTGAGGGCAGAGATCTTGAAATAAGATGTGTGGTTGAAAGTAACCCTGAACCTTCCTCTGTTATATGGACCAGGGCAGGAGGTCAACTTCCATCTGATGCTAATGTCACGCCTGGTGTCTTAAGTGTACCCTCTATACACCGCACAGATAGTGGGACTTATATGTGTACAGCTGAGAACTCCATTGGAAGTCAACAGGACAGTCTCTTCATTGATATACATTGTAAGTCACAAAGGATATATTCAGTAGAATATTTGTCTAAGAGAACAAATAAGATATCTTAATTGCTAAAAATATACCCCTAAAGAAGGAGTTCCAAATATCGTACTTAAGCAATCTCTTGATCGGATACTTTATTGGTAGGCGCAAGGGTCTAGTTGATATTTGCCTCATGCATGTATAACAAGTTGTAGTGGATATTGACATCTGATACATTTAAACGTTAATTTATTCATTCGTAAATTATGAAAAATAAAACAAATATGTTGTGAAACATATATCTTGTCAAAAACTGTATTTGAGCTAATATTACATCAAAGATTACCAATTTTACTGGACGTCGGTTTGTCTGTCCACACATAGATTCCGTTTTCGAGAAGCATGTCCGTACGATAGGTAAACCCATGACACGGAATGCTTATTCAACGAAACATCAGAAATCATGATATTCATGATTTGCACAAGGCTAAATTGAACATCAAAAGTAGAACTCGGTTATCAGTCTTAATTTTGCTAAATGTTTATCTTTCTATAAATAATAAATGCGCTTTCTGGTCCTGATACTTGATTATGGTATCCGACAAATTTTCGGATTTGAACTTGTTGACGTCAATTAAGTGAAAAATTTATCACTTTTTTCATTTTACGATAATCATATCGAAATATTCATATCAGCGGTGAACTATAAATACACGTTTTGTTTGTACACATATTATATCGACTACATAATACCATCTGGTAACAGTGACTAAACAATCTCCATTTAAAGGTCGTCCCTGCCATAATCAGACACAATAAACAAATACTATATACTAGTATCAAATGTAGATAAACGTATATGTGAAATGTGAAAAACCTTGTCAAGTGTGTAGTCAGCTGAACAGAGGTCTTGCTGATGCTTACATTTTACACCTGAAGAGACATATCTTCCATTAATTTTGAACTGTTACTTTGTGAGAAGCAATAAATCGTAAATTGATGATTTCAGAAGTGAAAGGAAAGAAAATTTTAAAAAGAATCATGTGAGTTGATTTATTATATATATTTACGTTTAAGAGGTTACAATATCGTTTGTCAACTGTACTACGGCTGCATGTAAATTCTCTACTGACTTTAACTGTAAATATATATATATATGTACATCTTGTTCTCAGATCCTCCTGACATACATATCAACTATGTCAATGTCACCCACATGTCGTCAGACAGGATATTGACATGTGTCCCAGATGGTAACCCGGCCATGTACCACTTTAGGCAATGGAAACAAACGGCGGAAGACGGCACAGTAATACGTCAGTTGACCGGAAATTCCAGTTCCACAGAGTCGATACTAACCCTACCTGACCTTGATGTTACACGACGGTATGAGGACACGGGGTTCTATATATGTTCAGCCTCCAACGACATTTTGGAATCCAATTCATACATGTCTGGATCAGTCTTCTTTGTTGTAGAAGGCAAGATAAATCTTTACAACCTTTCTAAAAATTTTGAAATTATGATCAAAAATTGATAAGTCATAGGATTAAACAGTTTGTCCCCATAACTAGTGAAATTTAGAAAAGGTAGGAATAACCAGATATGTCCAAATATTTTCGTGGGATTAAAGTTTGTATAAATAGTGGGTCTCAACTTTCTGACACCAATTTCAGTTTCAGTTTTATAAATGAAAAAAATAACCAAGTTTAGATGGTGATTTCACTCTAGCAAGAACTACAGCTTGGCACACACAAGTGTTATACAAATACCATTGCCTAAAAAAACTCAAAGAAGTTAGCAACATCTAATTAAAGTTGTTAATATGATTATAACACATCGTTGTACCAAGTTCCCTGTTGATATTTGTGAAATTGGTTGTGGTGTAGAGAGATGAGTACAGAAAAGTAAAGATTTCTTTGCTTTCTGAATTTATAGTTCACATCAGTCTACTTTGTGCTGTTATTAAATCTGCACTATGATGACTTTGAAATATTTTTGTTCATAACTGTTACTCTTGTTCTATTTATAGAGGTAACTTTTAGTCTTGTTATGTTTAAAGTGTCAATTATTAATCTATTTATAACTTTTTTAACTGCCTCTATTGTACTTTAACCCTATATCTATTTGTACCAAATGGTTCTGATGAAGCATCACCTATGATGTGAAACCAGTCAACCGTAAAAATGTAGCAAATAAAATGCAGAATCTGCCGAAATGTTGTGGTTGTATTTCATTACTTCCACATGTCGCCTGTACAACTGCCTTGCATACCTAGAGTTATCAACAGCGACAGCTAGGGATCTTATCTGGAACTTTATTGCATATTGGTGTTGGTTCCAAACTTTTAATCTGAAGTTGATAAATATTCGAGACTAAACAGATTTTTAAGGGAACATGGCGAATGTATACTTCTGCAATTTAAAAACCTATAGTTATATTACTTATTACAATTCTATTGAAGACTGGACAAGGACAAAAAGCTGATGATTGAAAGCAATGAAGTTCTTTTCCAACTCTGTATATGAGGTCCTCACTGATATTGTACAATCTCTAACGAAGGAGTAATTTTAACAAAGAAACATAAAACATTCAACATGGATATATTTGAATTTAAAGTAGATATATTAATCTATTGAGTGTAGTACAATTAGTCATTATGAAATATAAATTGCTTAATTTTGATTATCTATTCAATGAATTTCATTGTTGTTCTTTCCTAATAATCCGAATAAGTTCTGCTTCAGGACTTTCAGTACTTTGATTGTTTCATTGGATTGATTAACTGACACCTTTGGAAAAGTTAAACAAGTATTCAAGATGATGACCTCTAATGTACTTTTGGTTGATATGTTTTCCCTGAAAGGGAGCTTAGTTGTAGAAACTAGAAATACTCACCAATAAATCTGTAATAACATGATTTGCTTTCGCCCTAAATGCAGTAGTCTTTTTTTACTTCATGCCTTTAGAATATGTTCCTACTTAGTGATCGAGTTCTGTCACACTCCTAATTTCCAAACTAGTTATGTCACTCCTCTTGTCCAATGACTGCATAATGTATATGGAAAAGTGGAAAGTGTAACATAGACTTGTGCTGTATAAATTTCAGCTCCTCCTGTGGTGATAACAAACACAACTGAGGTCAAGGGACAAATAGGGAGCAATTTCACTATAGAGGTGGAATTTTACAGTAGACCCGCGGTCAGTGAGACTGATGTGACATGGACCAAAGGAACAGAGACTTTAACTCATAATAATATGACTGTTATGTCTATAGTGGACACAATTGTTCATGTGTCATTCCATGGTGTTCAGATTGAGGTCAAAGGTTATGTGGCTGCTATAACAATACACAGACTGATGGAACCGGACTTTGGTAACTACACAGTGACAATAGGAAACAGAGAGGGAAATTCAAGCCACACAGTTGTGTTAAAATCTGCAAGTAAGTATGTAATATGCGTGGACAATAGCAGATGGTAATTATATTTTTACCATAGTATATGATGTGGTCGACCTAATGGTCAATATATCCTCTGATGCATATAAATTTGCAGCAATATTGTATCCTCAATAAGAATTTGTATTCATATTAGCTTTGCTGCACCACGTTTATAGCACCAATGCTGAACACTTCGCTACCCCAAAGCAACACTACTCTTTTGCAAAAATGACACAAGACGATGTCAAGATCTAAATCATATTCTCACCAGCAGACAATGTTATAAATACATTTTCATTTAGACATCAAGATTGTATACCTTAACTTACCTAGCTAGTCTGTGTTTGTAAAGAATGTACTATAAATGTATTTTACCTACATGTATGTTTGTATTATAACAGGCACGTATCCTAACTAATGTAGTGTATATGTAGTTTAACTTTACCATGTTATGTAAGAATAGGTGCCCCTTTACCACAAGACGATGAAGTATATCTTTACCACCAGACAATGTGGTATAACATTACCACTAGACAATGTAGTATAGGTTACCACCAGACAATGTGGTATAACTTTACCACCAGATAATGTAGTATGTCTTTACCACCAGACAATGTAGTATATCTTTACCACCAGACAATGTAGTATAACTTTACTGTGATATTAACTCTCTTTATTTATATAACAACAGGTGCCCCTTTACCACAAGACAATGAAGTATAACTTTACCACCAAACAATGTGGTATAACATTACCACCAGACAATGTAGTATAACTTTACCACCAGATTATGTAGTATAACTTTACCACCAGACAATGTAGTATAACTTTACCACCAGACACTTAAGTATAACTTTACCACCAGTCAATGTAGTATAACTTTACCACCAGACAATGTAGTATAACTTTACCACCAGACAATGTAGTATAACCTTACCACTGGACAATGTAGTATATCTTTACCACCAGACAATGTAGTATAACTTTACTGTGATATTAACTCTCTTTGTTTATATAACAACAGGTGCCCCTTTACCACAAGACGATGAAGTATAACTTTACCACCAAACAATGTGGTATAACATTACCACCAGACAATGTAGTATAACTTTACCACCAGATTATGTAGTATAACTTTACCACCAGACAATGTAGTATAACTTTACCACCAGACACTTAAGTATAACTTTACCACCAGTCAATGTAGTATAACTTTACCACCAGACAATGTAGTATAACTTTACCACCAGTCAATATAGTATAACCTTACCACTGGACAATGTAGTATATCTTGACCACCAGACAATGTAGTATAACTTTACTGTGATATTAACTCTCTTTGTTTATATAACAACAGGTGCCCCTTTACCACAAGACGATGAAGTATAACTTTACCACCAAACAATGTAGTATAACTTTACCACAAGATAATGTAGTATAACTTTACCACCAGACAATGTGGTATAACATTACCACTAGACAATGTAGTATAGGTTACCACCAGACAACATGGTTTAACATTACCACCAGACAATGTAGTATAACTTTACCACCAGATAATGTGGTATAACTTTACTGTGATATTAACTCTTTTTGTTTATATAACAACAGGTGCCCCTATACCACAAGACGATGAAGTATAACTTTACCACCAAACGATGTAGTATAACTTTACCACCAGACAATGTGGTATAACGTTACCATCAGACAATGTGGTATAACTTTACCACCAGACAATGTAGTATAACTTTACCACCAGACAGTGTAGTATAACTTTACCACCAGATAATGTAGTATAACTTTACCACCAGACAATGTAGTATAACTTTACCACCAAACAATGTAGTATAACTTTACCACCAGACAATGTGGTATAACATTACCACCAGACAATGTGGTATAACTTTACCACCAGACAGTGTAGTATAACTTTACCACCAGATAATGTGGTATAACTTTACCACCAGACAGTGTAGTATAACTTTACCACCAGATAATGTAGTATAACTTTACCACCAGACACTTAAGTATAACTTTACCACCAGACAATGTGGTATAACGTTACCACCAGACAGTGTAGTATAACATTACCACCAGACAATGTAGTATAACTTTACCACCAGACAATGTAGTATAACTTTACCACCAGACAATGTAGTATAACTTTACCACCAGACAATGTAGTATAACTTTACCACCAGACAATGTAGTATAACATTACCACCAGACAATGTAGTATAACTTTACCACCAGACAATGTAGTATAACTTTACCACCAGACAATGTAGTATAACATTACCACCAGACAACATGGTATAACTTTACCACTAGACAATGTAGTATAGGTTACCACCAGACAATGTAGTATAACTTTACCACCAGACAATGTAGTATATCTTTACCACCAGACAATGTGGTATAACTTTACTGTGATATTAATTATCTTTGTTTATATAACAACAGGTCCTCCTTTACCACCAGACAATGTTATACCACTAACTTATGATAGCAGCAGTATTACTATACAGTGGAAACCGAGATTCAATGGTGGAGCAGAACAATGGTTTATCATTGGATACAAGACTGACATATCAAAGGACTTCGATGATCATGAAATACCAGATTCTCAGAAAGAAATCCAGTCCTACCAAATTACTAGACTATCGGCATCAACGATATATTTCATCCACATGTACTCTGAAAATGCATTTGGCAGGAGTGACTTTGTTTTTCTAAATCAAACAACATCAGGTAAGATATTAATTGCACATGGTTTGTACCATCTTCCATTTGTCATGACTTCTTCTATGTAACAAAAAGGCCTAGATAGTCATGTTATTTGTCTGGATGGATCCAGGGTGAAGCCAATAAGAATATCGGAACAGGATATAATCAAGGTCACAGCGATCAATTGACGAATTGCAGGAGCAATAAAATTTTGCCCACAAATCCAAATAAATTTAACTGGATGTTACTTATAGCACCTTGAGAGACAAGGAATAAATTGAGTTTGAAAAATGTCTGTAGGGAAATGATGTATTTAGTGCTGCAGCCATGGATGTATGACGGTTCAAAATTGGGCCAACAAAACCCTCAAGAAAACGTAAAAATAACACTTGATATAATCACATTATATTACATCATTTATTTTATATGAACTGCAGCAAATTATTATCTCAAACATGTGACAGGCTTTTGCAAACCAAGAAAAGTTGTTAATTTACTTCAAACCTCACTACAGTCTGACTTTTAATGCTAGTTTTTGATTTTTCGGAAATTTTCACCATATGTTCTCTAAAATAATATGTCATATTGTAGATGTGGCTAAAATTGCAACATTCTTCATATTTCAAATAACTTTTAATACATTTAAAATTCTTTTGGAATATTGACATCGACTTTTGTGTTTTCATATACTCCTGGTACTTTGACCTATAGCCATCATGCAAAGTCTGTCGTTGGTTCTTACCTCTTTAAGTATCTATATTTTGTAGATTTCGACTAAATTAAGTATGGATTATTACAACTCAAATATTTCAAATTCCTCAAATCCAACTTAATGGAACATTTCCTCTCACTTGTAGGACCTCAAAACAAATATTTCAGCTTATTTGTCCATTTTATAGAAACTGAATATTTGGGTAAAAATTGTAAAAAAAATGTATAGAGACCACCTCTAAATCTGGAAATACATTCTTGTAAGTTCCTCTATCTATGTATTAAGACTTAAAAATAGTTCAATACTAGAAGAAGGTCAAATAAAGGATGCTACATAAATGTAGATTTATATCGTTGTTAAACTTTTTCAGATCAATTTTATGCTCAAGTGGCCCGCCATGGCGCGTCACCCAACATCAACTTTTTCCTTCAAAGAACTTCTTATTAAACAAAGGGCCACTGTTTTGCTATTTGGCTGGTATGTTCCTAGTTCAAAGTTTGCGCAAATAAATGACCTTGACATCTATTCAAGGTAACAGGGGTCAGATATTTTAAAACCTTTAAACAGTTTTTTTGCATGAGCTGAAAGCCCTACAGGCATGCTATTTGACTGGTATTGCTAATAATTTTGTACACTGCCTAACTTCTTGCCTTCTTTATTCTCAGATTACCATTAAGACCTTTTGCCCTTTGTTTGTTCATTTACTTTTAATAACACCACCTTTTTTAAGTTCATCAACATAGATACCGTTTGAGAAATGCATGCCTGTTGGGCCTTTTGTTTATCATAATATCCAAGTAATTTTTTTACCATTAAACGAACGAAATCATATCAGGCACTTGGACATCAGATGGTAGAATTGTAATCCGTGAACATAATGGAGAAAAAGTCACCAAGCTTGATAAGATAAATGGTCACCCAGATCATCCTCTGCGTTCAAAAATTAGAATGGTGGTAAATAGTTATTTACTTTCCCCCTTTCCCCATTATTATGTGTATTTTCCGATTTATTCCGAATATTTCAGTTATTTTTACCCTTGTCTGAATATCCATTTTATTTAGAGTAATAGTCCTTTGATGTAAGACACAAGTGGAAGAGGATTAACTTTTATATCATGGACATTATGGCCGGATTCCCTTTTATATCGGAGAGAAAGTACATGTAACGCACATCTAATATCATCAATGTCATAAGACATAGTAAATTGAAAAGCTGGTGGATAGTTAATTATCTTCCTATAATCATAAGATCTCTTTATAGCATATATAGCATGTAGTATTTGTGTTGTTGAATAGTCACTGACGATGTATAGTAAAATTCTGTTAAAAGGCAAGAAAGGAGATTGGATATGTTCATCATTAATTGTTAACCATCAAAGTATTTATTAATTTATAGACTAGTAGAACTGTTTTGATACTTTGAAATAATTATTTGTATGTTTACTGCATCACATTCCTATTGCCTGAAATTTGATTGATGAAGAGCTGCCATGAAGTTTTGGAGTTTCGTCTAATGTACATGATGTGTATAAATGTTTGTGCATGTAGAGCTGAACTGAGAGCAAAAGATTAATCTATTTGTCTTTTTTATACAGCTGCTGGCAGTGAAGGGCCAAGCATTGGGCCTTTGATTGGTGGAATATCTGGATCAGCCATTGGCCTGATAGTAATAGTTGTTGTTGCTATTGTCATTTATAAACGAAAAACTACAGATAAAAGTGAGTAAATTATTATTAATTGTCACTAAAGTTTCTCACTTAGTGTTGATATTGGGAAAGACTCTAGATTTGATAATTATACAGTACACCTGGAAATGTTCTACATAGTTTAACTTTCATCTATTTCATTGTTTTTGAAACAGGCCAAAAGCAAAACAGTGGTTAAATGTGATGTTACTTAAGCTGAAATACATTTCTATGTATATGTAAGCAAATATAAAGATGGCAACATATAATAATTTTGTGCAATGTGCAATAATTTATAAACCTTTTTATTGATTTTAGATGATGACATGGAAATGATTAACAACTCTAGACATTCGTAAGTTGCAGCTTTGGTATCTTTAAATGCTATCAATTGGTTTGTAGATCATAGAAAAGACACATAATTTAGTAAATAACACCTCTCAAAACAAATTTACAATTAGATATAATAGAGTCAAATAATGAATGAAACTGCATCATACAACTGTTTTGTCCTTCTAGGACTCGTCAGTGATTTCAGGAATGATCAGAAAAACAAAATGGCTGACGGAGAACACCAAAGATTTTTTTCATTGAAGTGCATTATCGTTATTTCTTTAAAAGTAGCGGATGGATATCTCACCTTGGACTGATTACAAAAACAAAAAAGCTTGAATTTTGCCTAGTAAAGTTTTTTTAACCCTATTTCTTTAGAAGTTATGAATGGATCACTCTCAATTTTCATAACTATGTTCCTTTTGGTCCCTAGTTGTGCCAGTTTGATTTTGGGACTTATCAGAAGAAAATTTTGGGCTATTGTCTTTGATTTTGCAGTTTAAGTTTATTATAACTATTTCTGCAATGAAATGTTCAAATTTCTAATCATTAAGAGCAAAAACAGAGAAACGAAGGGAACAATCCGACGAACAAGGAAAACAAAAAATTAAAGAAAGATCTACCGATTGTTGGCGCCAAGATCTGGGATCTCTTATAAATGTCTTGCACTTTGAATAATTTCATTACAATTTCTTATTTGTTAATTCCATTAACGCAAGCTGTTTATATCGTCAGTTCTTTTTGAGGGATGAAAATTTAAGCACTGTTCTCTAACATAAATTAATGAATTCATTTCAAGTTCAAGACTTTTAAGATATTGAAATAGATTTTTAACTCAACTAGTCTGAAGGGTCATGGTGTCCCTTGTCTGTCCGTTGTCTATCAACTTTTTACTATAAATAGCTACTAGTCATGAACTACTAATAGGAATTTTGACCAAATTTGGTCAGAAGTATTATTTGGGTAAAGGGAACATATTTTCTTTAAATGTTGTGTACCGACCTCCAGGGTGTGAGGGGTGGGGCCTTAAAGGTAAAAGAAACAATGTTCTTCAAAATGCGACTCCTCTGCACCAATGATTGGTTTTTGTCCAAATTTGGTCTGAAGCATGTTTGGCCGAAGGGGAATCATTTGTGTATAAACAGTGGGTTTCAGGACCCTGGGGCCTGAGGGGCCGAGCCCAAGAGGGTTAATAGAGAGCAAGTTCAGTAAAATTTTACTCCTCTTGTAAGAATGGGCCTGAAGGGATAAGGCCAAAAAGGGGAAATTTATAAATTCTTTAAAATCCTACTCCTCTGTAAATATGATTGAATTTTACCCAAAATTGGGTTGAGAGGGGTGGGGACTAGTATGGGAAATAAAACAAATTCTATAAAATCCTGTCTGTAAGAATGATTGAATTCCATCCAATTTTAGTGTAAAGGATTGTTGGGTAAAGGGGATCAATTTTATATAAACGTGGGTATTGTATAAGACCTCTGGGAAAGGAGTGGCTGGACCCTCAAGACCAGTAGAGCAAATTGTTTAAGCCCTACGCCTCTCATAGGAATGATTGGATTTTTACCCAAATTTGGTCTATAGGATAATTGGGTGAAGAGAAGCAGTTTTAGATAAATGATGAATGTTGGCCCCCAAGAGCAGGAGGGTTGGGGTTCAATAGGAGAATTGTATTATGGCATTGAAACAACTGAGATCCTCACCTCATAACCGTATACAGGGATGCTTGGCATCATGAGCCCTGGAGTATGTCCCACCACTAGGGACTTAAATTTCTAGGTAATCACTTTGAAACAATTGAGATAAGGTACCCACCCATTTACCATATATAGCAATGCTAGGCATCAATAGATAAAATCAACCTTGCCATATAATTCAGCCCTGACATATGCCCCACGCCTTTGGACTAAGTTTCTGGGTAATATCTTTAGAAGCACTGAGATTCCCACTATATAATGACATATAATATTGAAGGACAACAAGAGATAAATACAATCATAATATTAAAATATGCCTTTGGGTCTGGCTCCATCCCAAGGGACTTGGTTTCTTAGTTATATCGTTGGCAATATAGCAGTGGTGGACATAAAGAGATAAACACATTCACAATGTAAGAGGCTTCAGTATGGCCCCTCCCCTCTGGACTCAATTTTTTTTATAATATCTTCGAAACAGTTGAAATTCCCACCTAATACCTATATATATATGCTTCACATGAAGAAAGTACTGCCCTTAGACAGTAATGATATAAGAATTTACCCAATGGTCTTGCCCCATCAGAGATGTTAAGAGACTGAGCTTTAATTCGGAAATATGCAAAGCAAACTGTAGACATACCATTGTTTGGCTTAAACATCCTGGTAATAATCTACAAAATAATTTGTATTTTAATTTGATGTTAAATTTGGAAATGGAAGCAATATATCAATTATTAAATACTTTTACAAAATATTGTTAATATGCGTTAAATCCATTTATTTGCAAAGTTTTTTATGATACCCTTTTTCCAGGTCTGCGGACGACGATTCAGGTAATTATTTGTCTTCACATTTTTTTTATATTTCTTCAATCATTCAACTTCTGATTACTCTATTAACAGTGCATATTACAATATTACTTTCATAAGTTGTTCGATATCGGTTATTAACAATTCATACATGGATATGTTACGTAGCCATTATGTGAAATGATTATTACATTGTTATATCTGTAAATACTTAAAATTTATCTTTCTTTCTTATTTGCAGATGGATTGAAGCGAAATATTCTGTATGAATCATCTGGTATGTATTTTCTTCATTAAAATGATTGTCCCACACCAAAAACATTTTGTTCTATATATCTATATGTGGTGTGTCCAATTGCCGGTACACACATTTTCTGCAAAATATTAGGAAAATGTACCTGAAACTAAAGATGCCTTAAATCAAAATGTTGTTCCCAAGTAGGAGTCAGTATCATAGGTTAGTGGTACAATGAATCATAATATGAATGTAATACGATCTTTTCTGCAAGAATCATGACACATTGCTTAATCTATGTAATGAGTTTTCACACAATAGATCTTGATAACATTAACTCCCAGTGATACAGATAGAAAATGAATTATTGATGACATTTTCAGGCAATGTAATTTTGGCATATATTCATATTATAGTTCAGTGCCTTGCAATATTTGAGCACAGACTGGAGACATAACTGCAGCTTGTTTTTAAAACTACATTGACATACACAGACTTTCAATTAATCCTATCAATTAGTAAAACATTTCTGAATGAGTTTATTTCCCTCATATGTTAGCTTAAACTATCATTTGTATAACTGTTTGAAGGTTGCAACATTAACATTTGTCCTGCACACTTATTTATGGTATTGTTTCAACCTCCTAACAAAACTTTCAGATGGCCTGAAATCTAATATACTGTATGAATCAGCTGGGGCAAATTATCAACCAGCACCTGGACCATCCTCGGAGTATGCTATTGTATGTAAACCAAACAAAAAGAATGGTGCCCCTGTTGATCCAAATTCTGTCTATGCTGTTGTGGATAAGACAAGTAAAGGCGAGAAGGATTCTAAAAATGATTTATATGCTGAAGTCATGAAGCAACCAAAAGGAAAAGGCGGAAAAGGTGATGGAAACAATTCATTAATTAATGAGATAGTTTATGTTTAACTGTACCTCTGTAATTATAAGAAAACCATTTTTAGCCATGCACCGACAAAATCATTAGATTTTGAGGTTGGTAGGTCAAGATCAATGTCGCTGTTACTTTCTATGACATGCAACAAGAATATCTCAGTTGACCTTTAAGGCCCTAGGGACTTTTGTTAAAATACCACCTTGGTTGAATTCTTTTTTGTGTTATAGACATACTTTTAAAAAAAAATCAAATTTTGTTTGCAATCTTAATATTGGAATTTTCCTTTTTTTATAGGGAAAAAGAAGCCTCGCGAAGAACCAAAGCAAGGAAAAGGTAAAAAGCTTAGTCAACAGCTTGTATGTACAGAATTAATTTAATGTATTGCTATTTTTAGCAGTTTTTGCAACTCTAAAGGTGTCTGCACATCCAAATCAGAAGCTGTATCTGTAGAAACAGAGTCCTGTGGAAATGATGCAGTAATATAATATGTATTTTTTTAAATCTCTTTCGATTAAAAAAGACAAAAAATAAAAACATTGTAATTAAACATTTTGGGAGCTTGACCCTAAATAAGCCTACAATCAATGATAATGTGTTTGATATTATACATACTGGTATTTTTAGCTAATCATGATTAGAAATGGTCGTCCATCAATGAAAAATTCTAGGTAAAATAAGTTCTGTTACAGGTACTGAATTCCTATGGAAAGATTGTTATCACTATCTCTAGAAAAAGTATGACAGAAAGATTTCATGCCCGGTCCTTGTTACACCATATTGATATAGGGACTGTTAAAAAAATCAAAATTATTTGTAAAGTGACCATATTCGATTTTGACAAAGAATTGTTTTCACAGGTGTATGAATCTTTTAAAACTGAATGGGAAAACAAATTATGGTGACCATCTTTGAATTTGACCATCAGACCATGGTTACGTGAATTTCGCAAGTAGGTAGATAGGATGGAGTACCATGAAATTACCTAATGACATTGAGTTGTTTTCAAGGCCACATTGGTTAACATTAATAAATAAAACCACTTTTCAGGATGCTTATAATTCATGAGAACATACCTTGGTTGGAGTAATACAGATTTTCCTAAAATAAACAACCTTCTAGTTCACATGGAATCTGACGTTCCAACGATCAAACACTTTTTGATGAAAATCACATTATCAGGTGTGAATGTTATTTGTTATTTGTGATCACTATTAAAACAATGATTACCCGACTAAAAATTTGCTGAGAGTATAGATGCTTTTCATATAGGGTCAAATGGAAAGACAAGCAATGCTTTGGAAAAAAATTTGGTTGGAATCTGTCCATACATATCTGAGGAGAAGAATTTTTAAGTCTAACTACCCAAACTCTAAATAATGTCTTCCCTTGGGCCCTAGGTGTCACAATACCTTCATGCAAATAAATAGCGATTGCCCTCACCAAATTGAAATATTTGGTTTAAATTTGCCCAGTCATATCCGAAGAGATAAAATAATTAAAACCTGATTTACTAATTTTCAGTTACCGGCCCCTTTATAATGGATGAAACTTATCAGCTATTATGTTATCTGCTGCCCTGGGCCATTAGCAAAACTTTCTTTCACTGTTTCATAAAAATACTGCTCTTCCATCCTTACTCCTGAGTGGATATAAACCAAATGTTTTCTGACACATCATTAGAGAAGGGGCTCAAAATTTCATTTGAAACATCACACCCATATCCATTAATTCATAGAAGAAATGTTTGATTATCATGGGCCTCTTGTTTATCTACAAAAACAATTTATATCCAAAAATACCCATCACTTTCATTATCTTAGATTAAATTCCGCAAACGTTATAACTAAAAACAAAAACAGCAAGAAAACTATTTTGATATATACATTAAGATTATATTTCATATTTCAGGAAGGAAAAAGAATAAGAAGGCAGACCATGGAAATGGTGAAGTATCTTTTTCATATAATTGGTTAGGAAACAATCCTTTATTTCTGTTATCCTATATAGATTTATCAAAATATCTAAAGAAACAATTTTTCTTATTGTTATTTATACTGAACAATTCACACTATTTTTCTTTCATTTAAACATATTTCTTAAATTCGAATATTAACAAATGAACAACTTCAGTATTGAAAATTGGAAGCATTTTTGACTCAAATGAAGTGTTTAATATCAGTTTCCTGACGTTAATTTCGTTTGAACAACATGGTTACGATAGCACGCAAACAACGTAGTTTAATCTGTTATTTGAAATGGCAGTAAATCAACAAATGGATTTTATTCTACTTTCTCCTTTTATGTTTATTCATCCACACAACAAAACTTGTAATAACAACTCCAATCAAATACATTTGTACTCACATCGTTCTATCCCACACACGTTTACACGTTACTAACCAAGCACATATACATAATACATTTTATGTGCTTCTTTTTCAACGTACAAATAAGTCACTGCTACAAGATGGTGACGCTTATTAAGGAGCCAGCCTTTAATTGGATAGTTAATCTGGTAATTAATCGACAGTGACCAAGTGTTGTGCGTATTATGGACCGATACGCCATAATTAGCCACGAGTTATGTACTGGTGACTTTCTACTGTGTGTATGTATTAACTGATTTCATCAGAAGACGTGCGAATGTTTTGACAAAAAATAATTTCGAGACACCAAATGACTTTTCTCTTTTTTTTACAATTGAAGAGGCTAAAATGGCTTCGACTTTTGGTTTACAATTGAAGGGACTAAAAGATGGCTTCGACTCAACTGAAAATTCGAGTCATTCAAACTAAAGTAACAAAGATGTAGAAGGGAAAATCTCGGAACTTGAAAATTAATTCGACTCGAGCGATTTCGAGACGACGAGGGTCAACTGTTATACTTAATAAGTATATATAGCTATGCTACACCGATTTGAGGAGATCAACAGTCCTTGTAATTACCTCTCTTCTGGCTCTTGTAGTTTTCATCTAGACTACACCGAGTTGAGGGGCAGAGATATTTTGATCAATCTCTTTCGGCTGTTGTAGTTATGCTTTTAACCACTATTTACTCGTGTTGTGACTAAACATATAGATTCTCAAATCTATGTACAAACAACTTCATTTTCTCTGCAGCTATATATACTTATGTATTATTTACTTTCCTTATATATATATATACAGTCGGACACAACAAAGCCATATTTCTATCAGCATTGTTATGTGGGTATTCGAAAGTAACGAAATCACATAACAGGTGGAAAATGAGCTTGATGTGGTATTAGTTGTTCTGCTATCCATTATACGGCAAGATATATGTCAGATAAGACTAAATCTACACCCAAATGCTAGGTTATTGTAGTAATGATAATAATCCTTCCATTGAAAGCATCAGGTCTGTCGGTCTTGCATGTAGAACAAAAAAAAAAAACAATTTATATGGAGACTCCTGAAAAAGTACAAGGAGAAAAAGACTAGGTGTTTCGGAAAAGTAAGTGTCTTCTGCTTCATCGACGACATCAGTCTTATAATTCTCGGTCAATCCACTTAATATAATGCCACGTTCTGAGATGAGAACAAGATATACAACAACGGATCCAACAGACAAACTAATGAGTAGCAAATACGTCCAGCTTGATAGCACACAAATAAATAGAATGTTATTCCATGAGACTACTATTGCGACCATAAGACTTCCCCATAATTTTCATCAACTTGCATCTGTTTCAACATTGTGGTACATGTTTGTCAGTCAGTTTTCGACTTCTTACACGAAATAATGTGAACAGGTCATTGAACATGGAATCAACTGTGACAAGTAAATACCATAGGTTGGAAATGCAGGGATATTGCTATAGAGAAATTGAAAATTCACAATATCATGTTTAGCAGTCAGCTTGACGGAAAGCTGTTCATGTTGGTTTTGTTGTAGGAAAAAGATCGAGATACGCAGCTGATGTAGAAGAGTCTGTTGTATCTTCGATTTCAAGTTCTTGTGGATATATACGATAAATGTAGTCAATAAAATTCTTGTCGTTTAAAGATAAGACGTCATCAATATAACTGAAGGTGAAACTGCGAAAGCTCAATTCATAATGAAGTTTTTCTATGTTAACTGTTATGTTTACTGTTACTGATATCTTCCTTCCCCTGCATTAGTCTGTTCACTACACATCACTTGATATGCTGTAGTTCAGTAATTCCTTGATGTAGATGTAGCTGTGTTGTTCTTCGCCCTAACATGACGGTCTGTTGCATGGAGTTCATGTAGGACACCAGTGTTATTAAGGTATCAACTTCATGCTGCATGCGCATGGCCATGTTTGATATGCTCCGCTTAGGAATATGCATAGAAGTGACGCGCTCCTTCTTTGATGCATCACCCCTAAACTATGGAGCACATCCGCTGAATCTTGTAGATCCTCCTCTCTTGTGTGTTAGATGCCCCGTTGAGTACTGTAAGTATCTTCTTGGTTAGAGATGAAACAGTTTATACTAGCTTCAATAACGTCTGCATGAATAAAGTTTGTGTACGTGTCCGCAACCAAGCCTAGTTCCTACCCAGGCCCCCTACACTGGATATGTACATATGTATCTTCAAATTTATGACGTGACAAACCAGTTCCCTCTAATGGTTGTTTAATTAACCTCTTACTTCTAAATGACTGAAAAACTTTAAGGTTCGTTCTCATACATTTTTACAAGATGATTATATAATGTATGTATGTGCAGTAATTTGGCAATTTGTCAGCATAAACCTGGTTTATATAAATTCACCATTATTAGCTCACATGGCCCACAGGACCAAGTGAGCTTATGCCATAGTGCGGCGTACGTCGTCCGTTCGTCCAACGTCCGTCAACTATTCATTTAAATAACTTCTTCTGAAATACCAAAAGGCGTTATCATATTTGGCTGGAAGGTTCCTTTGATGAAACCCAACAGAGTTTGCAAAACGAAATGACCTTGACCCATATTCAAGGTCACAGAGGTCAAATGTGTTAAAACCTTTAAACGACTTCTTCCAAAATACCGGAAGGTCTAGAATCATTATGTTTGGCTGGAAAGTTCCTTTGATGAAGCCCATCAAAGTTTTAAAAAAGAAATGACCTTGACCCATATTCAAGGTCACAGAGGTCAAATGTGTTAAAACATTTAAACGACATCTTCCAAATTACTGGAAGGGCTAGAATCATTATGTTTTGCTTAATGGTTCCTTTGATGAAGCCCAACAAAGCTTGCAAAAGGGATTGATCTTGACCCATGTCCAAGGTCACAGACGTCAGATGTTTTAAAACATTTAAATGACTTCTTCCAAAATATCGGAAATCCTAGAATCATTATATTTTGCTTGATGGTTCCTTTCTTGAAGCCCAACATAGTTTGGAAAAAGAAATGTACTTGATCCATATTCAAAGTCAATGAGGTCAAATGTGTTAAAACCTTTAAATGACTTCTCTTAAAATACCGGAAGGCCTAGAATCATTATTTTTTTGGAAGGTTCCTATGAAGAAGGCCAATATTGTTTGCATAAAGAAATGACCTTGACCCATATTCAAGGTCACTGAGGTCAAATGTATTAAAATATTTCAACATCTTCTTCCAAAATACTGGAAGGCCTAGAATCATTATATTTGGCATTACAGTTTCTTTGATGAAGCCCAACAAAGTTTGCGAAAAAAATAACCTTGACCCTTTTTCAAGGTCACAGAGGTCAAATAAGTTATAACTTCAAGTGACTTCTCCCAAAATACCGGAAGGCCTAGAATCATTATATTTTGTTGGATGGTTCCTTTGTTGACCCCCAACATTGTTTGCAAAAAGAAATGACCTGGAACCATATTAACTGAGGTCAAATGTGTTAAAACTTTTAAATGACTTCTTTCAAAATGCTGGAAGGCCTAGAATCCTTGATTAATCCCAATAAAGTTTGAAAAAAATAGCCTTGACCCATATTTAAGGTCACAGAGGTCAAATGTGTTAAAAAAATTAAGTGACTTCTTTCAAAATACCTTAAGGCATAGATCATTATATTAGGCTACTATTTTCCTCTTTTGTTGTCCTTACAAAGTGTGCTAAAAGAAACGGCCTTGACCAATCTTCAAGGTCATATGGGTCAAATGTTTAAAACGTTTAAACAATTTCTTCTGAATTATCGAAAAGCCTAGAATCATTATATTTGGCCAGTATGTTCCTTTTATGAAGTCTTAAAAAGTAAATTACCTTGACCCATAGTCAAGGTCACAGAGGTCAAAAGCATTAAACGTGAAACATATGCACATAGTTAAGGATTGTTTGTCATTTTCTGTAGCTGCATCGAATTGTATTTACATTGGGGTACGTACATATTTAACTTGGTACGTACACCAATGTAAATACAATTCGAGGCAGCTACAGAAAATGACAAACAATCCTTATATTTACACTTGGTCACTTTGAAATTATTTTTTTTTTTTTTTTTAAAAATCACCTTATACACGTTGTTCGAACAGCCGTCCGCTTTATAGAACAGTCAAGTAAAACCATAAACACTAGGTGGCGCTACCGTTGACAAAATAGTTCTCAAATATAAGAGGACAATCAACATGTTTTATAATATTTATCTAAATATTTAGACATCTTCTTTTATTTTTAAGAATCAATAGTTCATCATTTACACAATATTTCTCTATCATAGTACACAAATTCATTATTTAATACCGCGCAGGTATATATCTATAAATACGTGATGAGGCCGCCCGATCAGCTGATCGAAAAAGCGGAAAAACGATGAAAATGACACGCCATTTTCTCCACGTTGATAATGCTAGTGCGTGTTGTTGAATGTGAACATGGAAGGATGAGTTAGATAGAACCCTGATGACATGTTTGACTGAAATGCTGCAGCAGAATAATTGATACTGAGGTTAGGCTGTGTATTTTCTGAGGGCATCGGTACACCATCGGCCCCTCGTCATCGGACATAGCGGCAGCCTCAGTCTTGGTGTTGGTGTGTCACAGATGACAAAATTCCTATCTCGCGTGCTTAATTCTAACAAGATCGATTTAGGTTTACTGGCTGATTTTATTTTTTTTTATTAATTCCATATATTTTAAAGATATATTTGTAAGGATTGACATCATTTTTCTTCGTATTTCCGAACGACATCAACTATAATCTCGTTTTGTAGCATTCGCAACTTGGACAAGTAGTTCTTACATTTTATTTGATATCTATGCGCAAGCCTAATCACCGTACGTAAATATCGAAAATCAGTAACATTGGTTTGGGCTTACTTCATCTAGAGAGAATGCAACGCAAGTGTAAATATAAAATAATGTTGGTCATAAAGATCCAGGTGAGTGATACAGGCCCTCTGGGCCTCTTGTTCAGTTAAAAGTGTTGATCGGCCAATCCACGATTTCATCCTCCATAAGTGTTCTTTAAGTGTTTCATTTCTATATACGTTTGATATAAATGGACATCTTGGAGAAGAGGAGTGTCTTTTAATTAGAACACAATGTGGAGATAGTTGGTGTGTATTATACACTGAACCCTCTAGTATAGCTTCATACCATAACCAACAAGTTGTTCAATGGAAATATAAGCCTTCAATAGTACCATGCTTTACCAGTACTTCAAAGATTAAGAACAGACCCGAATCTCTTTTTCCTGGTCACTGTAGTCATTTTTTTTTACTTCCGTGCTTGAAAATAATTGATTTAAGAAGACAGAAACTTGCTGGCATCTATTCAAGGTATTCGTTGAAGTAATTAATATTTAATAGTTCCTATGGTAATGTTAGATCACTTATTATTTTTCAACCAGATGTTGCCTTCAGTCTATGCAAAAATAAAGTAAACAGGTGTAACCTGAACGAGCACGACTTGCAAAGAATGGCTAAACCAAACAAAATACAATATGTACAAGTTTATTGCACTATATACACACAACAAGATATGTCTCCTAACATAATTAAGCACATCTTACTCACGCATTCATTAACACACTCACACTAGAATGATAGAAATATATATTAAAGTCTATACAGCCAAGCATCTAGACATGTCTCTGGTTAATACTACTGTCAAAAAAGATCATCACACAGGACATCTCAATAATTGTCCACACAGGACATCTCAGGACTGTCCACACAGGACATCTTCATAATTGTCCACACAGGACAGCATATACAGTAAATAGGTCTGTCTACCTCCAGACTGTATACAGCAACAGTCCACACCAGACCTCATATGATTACAGGACTGCCCACACAGGACATGGTATCAGGCTACACTGCCTTGCCCACACAATATGTTAGCAACAGCTATCTTGGCCCACATAGGACACAAACATTTACCATCTCTGTACCAGTAGTATCATCATCGTCCTCACCAACATCATGGCGTAGAAATGTAATTACATAATATAACCATATCTAACCAAATATATAATTCCTATTACTAAGCTATACATCTATTCATTTAGTATCTCATAATATACACAAATATTCTATTATTATAACCATATAATACTGTATGTAGCTAATTAACTGATATAATTCCATAGCAAATTCTAGTCTTAATTTCAAGTTTCTGATAAATAAACTGACTATTCCTGCTTATAATAACTAAATGCATAATTCAATTCACAAATATCAGTTATTCTAAACCCATAACGTTATGTATCTTGAACTGTACTCGTCGGCCGTTATAAGCATATACATGTATCTCTTAATATTCGGCCCAAATACCAAACACAACAGATTCCGGGTAAAGATTGGAATACTTAGTATTAGGGTGTTTTAAAGGTTGTCAAAACTGACCGCAAACTGTATTTTGTGCTGGCTAACCCCATACAAACAATTATCTACCTGCCGAAATCTACATCGCTGCTCTCGCTTACATGTACATTTCCTTTCTCACAAGACTAAATTCAAATATTAAGAACTCGGATCCGGAGAATCCGTAATTAAATCTTTTACATGGAATTATTGAGCAAAAATAGGTAGACAGCATTTAGTTTAGATATCATCGCAATTATTTCATTAAATACATGTACAAAATGTTCAGAATAACTGGGATATTATTTCATACATATAAACAGATAAATGTACAAAATTATGGTTGGGACTTGGGTGAAAGCTTTTCTTTAGAAAAAAAATGCTTACCCCTATTGGGTGCAGAGATGCAAAGTTCAATTGAAAAATAAATATGAATGCTTAGACTCCATATATTTAAAATAAATAGAGATCAGATGAGCGATTTAGGCCAACAAGCCACTTGTATAAGTTTGTATCAGTTATTCTTATAAAACCTGCACATATTATTATGGAATTACTTACTGTCAAACATGTTTTTGACATACTTCATTTTTCAGAACGAGATGTTTACGAAAATGCCCACGCAACTGCTGAAGACGATCAATTGTATGCCAATGAAGTCAACACCTCCAAACCTGAACAAGGACCTTCTAGAAAAAGGGTGAGGTTTTAGGTCAACTGACCAGAAGGGTCTTGGTGACCTATTACAATGGTCCGTCATCATGCGCCATCCGCTATGCGTAAACTTTCGACATTTTAAATTTCGTCGCAAATTTCACAAGTGGGATTCAGCTCAAACCTGCCTGAAATGATCATGAGGTGGTTCTGACCCAGTGTTTATATTTTTCACGATATCATGTCTACAATTTTGAAAAAAAACATATTTCAAACTTCTTCACCAGGTCCACTGTCGCCAGTGGGCTAAATGTTGGTGAGAATGTTAAGGAAAGGTAGCCAACAAAGTGTTATTTTTCTACCTTGTCCAAACTTCGATACGGTTTCCAGGAAGGCTATTGTGTAACATGATTGCACAATCATGGTTTTCCTGTGCAACGCCTACTTCAGACTTCTTCTCAAGTTTTACCAGTTGCATTGATCTCCAACTTTCAAAAAAAAAAGGTTACACTCGTTACAGTTACTACTCCTCACCAAAATTAACATCAGCATCATGGAAAACAATATGGGGAAAAAACACAGAAAAGGTACAAAAAGTACATTTCTTCGACTCAATTTGGAACCAAGAATTCAACACGGTTTCATGTTGAGTCAAAAAAAGTACAATAGTACACCAAAAGGCTAATGAAAATATACTTTTGGTATATTTGATAATTTTCACAAATACATAGATAATACAGAAATAGTATCATAAAAGTATAAAAAGTTCATAAGACCACAATGAGTGTATTTATATTGTACTTTAACTTTACTTGAACAACAGTATCCAAAAGGTATGCCAAACGTGTATAGATGTGTCACAAAAAGTACTTTTAAAGGTCCATACAACAAAAATAAACCTTTTTATCTGACTTTTGCTGATTGAAGGAAAGTATTAAAAGAATACGTTTTTGTATTTTATCTTTACTTTTATGATATCATTAAAAAAGCACAAAGGAAGTACTCCAAAAGTGTATAAAATGTTATTAAAAGTACATCAAAAGGCCTCAAAAAGCACCCTCAAAAGTTTCCCCTTTATAATGTGGTTTTGCTCTTTCAGCATCATAATATTATATTGTGTAACATTTTTTCACTTCATTTAACAAAATTTATTTGAAAATCTAAAAACTAAAGTAAAATAACTCTTGCACTGAAACTATCAAATGAACAGATTTCAAGGTTAACAATAAAAAAGTAATATGGCCCCTAATCTGTCAGCATATGATTTTCAATAGCCATATGTTATATACTGTATAAAATCTGTAATGATTGTAATGTACAATAGTTAGCTTAAACAAATAAATGTTGCAGAAATAGATTATTTCAATGTAAATGTGTATAATTAACCAGATTGAAGATTAGATATTTATAATGCCAATCTTCAGCTAACTGATGATTTAATTATTGATGTTTGTGAATATATGAAATTAATTTTCATTTTTGTTGTCCCTCGTTTGTCTCAGCTTGTTCTACATGAGATCAGTCAGTTGAACATCATAATATGAACCACTACATGTTTTGACTGAAATAAACATATCAATAGATCGTTGTTTACTTTCAAGAACTTTTACACGTACGTAAATGAAACATGCAATGATTTTCTTTCCTCTGTTTGAACTGAATTATTAAAAAAGGTCGTTACAATTAAGATAGAAGCACTCCAGAATTAAATCGAATTAATTCAAGAACATGTTGTAAAACTGCGGAAGTAAATATCGCGGAACACCTATCAATACTTACGTAATATTTGATACGATTCGATATCTTAGTTTGTTACAAGTACTAGGACAGCATTTGTTCCCATGTCTGGACATGCAGAGAGCTTTTTAAATAAATTATGAAAACACAATCCGTTCCCAGCGAAAAATTAAACAAGGCGGTCATGTTTACATCAGAGGATCGTGGGTCAAGGCTGAATCTAACATTAAAACATTTGAATCAGGTTTCAGCGATAAATCTGGTTGATGAAATTAATATTTACGAGACAGCATTGTGATGGTGTGGAATTAATGGCGTTTTACGCATACACTTTAGGGTTTCACACACTGATCTAGTCTGGATTTTGCAATTTGCAATCTTACATATTTTGTGTGATTGCATTAACCAGTTTTTTTCTTAATGACATGATCGCAAGCACTGAGAAGTGCCACGATTCAAGATGTGGCATGACAGCCAAAAAAAAAAAAAACAAAAAACAAAACAAAAAACAACAAAACACCGGTAAACAACTAAGACTCGCTCTAGTCCGCAGTTTGATAAACAGGCGCGTATCTCGATATTTCTGTGCACTTAATTGTTAATTAACAAAATGCTGTTTCGTTAATTAATTAACATACCTTTACATATTTCGTTTACTGGAATTCGGAGGTTGTGGATGAGACGCCAGTTTTCCCCATCTCTACATGGCAACAGGCTGTCTTTAAATACTGAGATTTAAGTACAAAAAAAAGTACCCTGGAAAATTTAAGAGTGCAAATGTAGTACCAAAAAAGGATACAAGTGATGATAGCTTACATTGAAAAGTAAAAAAAAAGTATACTATTTACTTTTTTATATTTTCAACACAAAAGTATATACTAAAAGTAGCACAAAATATAATTTGGTGTAATTTTTCCGGTATGGGACCTTATACATCGATTATACTCTACAAATATTTTTGAGTGTATACAACCAGTTGAAGTATATGAAATAAAACATAAATTAAAAAAGATAAAAAAAATATATTGTTATCTTTTCAGTATGATTTGATATCAAGTAAAATCAAACATTTTGAATGAAATAGCTTCCATGGAACACAAGTTGACAGAAAATAGTGATAATATTTTGGATAGTGATAATATGAAGCCGACAAAATACTATTTTTATTATTAAGCGTATTTTTTTCTTTGTTTTCATTTTTTGAAGAATCAAGATGGGCTTCTGTATCTGGAAGTTGAATTTAAAGACGATGGCAGCAATGGGCGCAGAGCTGTGATACATGGAATTGAGAATCGGAATGACTATGCGGACATTGATTTCACGAAGCGTGCAGACCCGTTACCAGATCAGGATGATCCCGAAAAGAACACGGCAGAAGCAGATGGTAAAGCAAAAAGGGATGCAAAAGATTAAAATAATTTTATATCAAGCATATACCACAATGAAATAGAAAAGTACCACGCGAATTCAGTTAACTGCAGTTACATTTATTAGATGTGAGATGTTATATTTTATATTGTTATGTTATGGAATTTTTCTACAAGAGAAAATTTACACTCTATCAATATGTTATTGTTTCATGTTAATATATGATTTTGTGACAATATTTCCTTTCTTTTTATATCCAAACCACCATTTTGTAAAGAAAAAATGTTATTTTTGTTACACATATTATATTTGTACAATTCCAATTCAACATATTGACCAGTTTCCATGCTGTTGCAAGTGATTATGAATTCTTGTTTTTAGAAACTTCCGCTTCAAAATATTTTTAACAATATTCTCATGTCGTGCTTTTGTATATACCATTATTTGAGATGAGCATGTACCCAGAAACATTTGTCTTTCCACATTTTAAATTTACATGTATTCAGATATTTATTAACTTTTGTGCTATTTCATGTTAATTGTATGGCTGATCTCTAGTCTGTTAGTAGCAAAAAAAAATGTTTTTCAGTTGCAGTTTCTTAAACATGTCTTAGAGATAGTAAATACGCCAATTTGTATTTGATTTTTGGCAACATTCCAAAGTCAAAATGCATGTAAATATGAAAAGATACACTTAATAATTGTTTTTTCTTATTTAGCAATATGTAGTCACCCCACCGTACATACATTTTATTGCAAGTTCAGAGGAACAACAATCCATATATTTGCATTTGATAACCTAAGGTATTCATAAAACATTTAGAAACTTAATTACCTACATATTGTTGAAATATCGATGAGCTGGTATAACAGCGGAAATCTACCAGATGTACTGGATGGCGTCACTCCATTTTGAACTCCATATTTGCATTAAGTATGCCCAGTTTATTTTGTAAACATGCATATATGAAATGCTGAATAAGAAAAGAAGCCTGATGTGCCGCTGGACAGGTTTGACGGAAAGGCAACAAGAATGTTTAAATGGAAACAGGACTATGTTTTTTTTCTGCGTTTGTTATAGATACTTCATTTGGGATGTTTTAACTGATACCAAACGTGTTTTCAATTTCTCTTGCGATTGTGATATTGGTTTACCTTGCTTTTGTTTGTATTACCATAGTGTTAAAGACACGGCATCTTTTCACGGATTGCTACTTTTAAACAGGTAGTTAGACTCCCAAACAAACTTTTGTGACAGTAAATGTTTCCACTAAAAATGTTAGATGGTTCTTTGGGGAATTAATAATGATGACCTGTAGATTTGTAAACAACATGAATTTCTAATGTGGCAAGATGACCGCCTTTCTGACTGCTGATTGGCTAATACCTTTTCTCTCGTAACCTTTGTTCTATTCAGCACATGAAAATGAGTGATGGTGGACATAATATTAGCATGATACCGTCTTATTTGATGTAATGAGAATTAACATTTTCCCTAAAATGGCTGCTAAATGGAGATTTCCGATCGGTCGCAATTTAGATATGGTCCAAGTTTAGTGAAATTTGGTATGTGTGTTTAATATAAAATTTGAAACATCCGTCAAGATGGCCTGAAATCATCGTGCTACATCCGTCGTCGTGCATCGTGCGTAAACTTTTTCTTTTCAACCATATTCCTCTTTCATACCTGAATGGATTTCAGTCAAATTTGATCTGATGCATCATCGGTAATATAGTTATTTCGTAAATTCAGAATTTTGATTCAGCCTCTAGGTGAAGTGCAACAGGGACCCAAAGGGGTAGGTATTGAATTTAAATCTAAAAGCCGACTCCTATCTGCCTGGATGGAATTTCAACATGGACCTGATTCATCGGTTAGGGTAGGCAATTATTTTTTTGAATTCAGAAATTTGATTTGACCGTATTGGACCTAGGAGTGGGAGGATCCCCAAATGGATAAGTTAGCCAAGGTTTTACTTCAAAATGCTACTCTTTCTTATTTGTTGGATGTATATCAACCAAATTTGGTTTAAAACATCATGGAAAATGGGGAATTATTTCTGTTATTCAGAAAGTTGATTTGACCCCTGGTTAATATGAATAACCTTGTTCTGTTTGAAATGTCACAGGGAGCAAATGTGTTTAAATATTTAAATGGCATCTTCTTTATAACCAAAAGGTCAAGGATGATGACATTAGACCTGCAGCATGCTAGGATGAAGGGCTACCAACACCTTGTTAATATGAATGACATTGACCGGCTTCCAAGGTCACAGATATCAAATGAATTAAGATGTTTAAATGACTTCTTCTCGACTAAAATAACTAGGGTGCTGATATTTGACCAACGTGGAAGTTCACAGGTGTCAAATCTGTTGAAATTCTGACGCAACTTCTTCTTGTTATCCGAAAGGCCAATGGTCTTGATATTTTGCTCGTGGCTTGCTTTTTCAACAAGCAATACATCTGGAGTAATGGCAATTGTTTAGTGCGTGTATAAAGAACATAGTTTAAAGTTGCAGAAAAAATGTCTTGATATGCCAACTATGTCTTCTATGTAAGCTGTAACGAAGTTAAGCATTTTATTTTAGGTCTATTTTACCTTCCATATATAGGTATTATATAGCCAGATGACCTGTATGGCCCATAGGCCTCTTTCTCATTGTTTACATTTTTTTCTGCCAGTGTTCATTCATTACGGAACAGGTAATTTGGGAAACTTAAGCAAAAAATTCCGTCATAATCGCTGATATCCGTTAATATTTGTGTGTGATATCATTTTGCATTCCAAGTCACAATTACTCACTTAGACGAGTTGAATCTTTATTGTTGTTTAGGTTTCATGTATTTTGATTTTTATAAAGGTACAGTGCTATGAAATTGTTCTTCCTATTGCCATCAAAAATATGTGCATGGCCCAAAAAAAGTTGCTATCTGATATGTGCCATTTGTTAGTATCCTTTTGGTTCATATATATTATATTAAATGAGTTTTTCATTTTTACAGGAATTAATTAATTGGGATGACAAAATCTAACTTAGGTACCCGTTTTAATGCACCGTTTTCACTCTATGACATAACGTCATTGTCCATACCATGAAATAATCAATTTCTGATTTGCATAGCTAAAGAAAAACACCTTAGAGTATATTGCACTGACAACATTGAAGCAAAAATATAACAGCGGCGAATTCACTGGATAGCAGACAGATTTTGTAATCAAAGAAGATCAGTTTATTTATATAAGTTTTATTTTGTGTGGCTCTTCATGTAAATAATGGCTTCTCAATGCAAAATCTATAGCTTTTTGACACAGATATTTATTACTATTCATATGTGATAAACTGGCGGATGTTTCCATTCCTTTTTATGACTGCTTAAATTTTGACATGATTTGTAAAAGTACATTGTACCATGCAAATATTAACATTTAAATATTTTTATGTACGTATGAACCAAGACAATGTATCTAATTAAAATAGAGAAATTAGACATATATATATATATATAGTATATTTTTACATATTATTATGTTATCTGTTAAGATATATTATCATAGCTGGTGTGTTTGTTCCATCTAATGTTTTAAAATGTTCAGTATGCCTTTCTGTAGAGTTTTAGTGTGTTGTTCAATTATTCAATAACTCACAAATCAAAATAAATGAGATAAAAATTATCATAAAAATTCGATTTGTAAGCAAACCAAGGAAAAGCTTTTTTGCTTATGAGTGAATCCTAAAATGATTGTTTTCTAACATATGGCACCATTGTTCATTAATCGAAAATGTAGAGAAATGTTTGTAAAACCAGTTTTCTGTAGGATATATTGACTTTAGACTCTACCATTTTAGGTGAAGAGTTAGAAAACAAAAAGAACATTTCATCTATTCACAAGTTCATCTTTTTGTTGATAATTTTTGTGTTAACGAATGACAATAAACTAAATGATCACATGGAAGTGATTTTTTTTAAAAATGTGCTTGCTTTTCGATTATTTTGAAAATCGTAAGTGATTAAAACCAGATATTAGCTCATACTTTAATGTCGTGAAGATCAAATTTCAGTAGTTAAGATCCAGTTGAGGCCTGAGGGTCCTTAGGCCGTAGTCTAAACAGAAGTATGATTTATTATTCGTTATACAGTTCATGTTTTTTCTGATACACAGTTTTAGTTAAAATCTTTGTGTAACCATATCAAACTATTAATCTCTTGGTCATATGAAATAACACTATCTTTTTTTATAATTATGAGTTTCCATCCGCGTTTAAGGCTTTTGAATTTGCTTTTAAATTGATTCTGCTTGAAATAAATTAATCTGAACTAGATGCAAATTTGTCTTGTTGTCATTTCAGGGTTTATGTTGCTATTGTTGTTGTTATTTTATTGTCTAGGCAATCCCAGGGCCAAAAAGCTTTTATCATGTTTTTTTTTTTTAATGATGAAACACATTTCACGGATTGCAAACAATTATAATAAGCACGTAACAGCCAGAAAATATGTATATACATGGACGGTACACCGGACATATGGAGCCGTGTTAACATATTGAAGTTTATTTATTTTTAAGGGCCTGTTTCAAGCATCACGATTTTCGTGAAAGACTGGCCCACAAACCGATTTTAGAAGATGCAGGTTGATGAAAATTACGGAAAATATTTATGGTCCTCATAGTAATGTCTATGAGAAATACTCAAGTTCTTTGTGCATATGAAGCCGGACATGTTTAAAGCTCATTAATTCACCGGTTGATTCTGTTATTCTATACTTTGTTCACATTTGAGAACGTGCCATTACGTTTGTGTAAATCTTTTTGTTCTTGCCTTGCCCCAGTTTTATTATGCTCACCGAAAATTGTCGGGGGCAGCATTTAGTCACCACTTTATACGTCAGTTTTTCGTGTCCGGGGCATAACGTTGCCCACAGTTATGCAAGAAATCTGAAACTTGGTGTATAGAAAGGTCATAAGGCGACTTGTAGTGTACAAAATTTAGGGTCTTCAACTCAACAATTACAGCACTTTGTTAAAATGTTTTGTCCGGTGTATATATTGATCACAATAAGACGATGTGAAGTGTATGGAATTCAGGCCCACACTTCCTTAATTACATTTATTGCCCTTTGTAAAAAAGAACAACTTGGTGTATCCATGACGCTTACAGTGTGATACGTGATGTATGCATCAGTAACACAAAACCCACGTGCAGTGTGCCACAGTTAGGGCGCGTACCCTTCTATTACAGAGTTTTTTGTCCATTGTTAACGGTTAATGATCATTGCATAACATTCTCATTTAAACTAGGATAATGATAATGGGTGGATACATTGGTCATACAACAGGGTGTACGTTATACTAAATTCAGTCCTCGTTGGGGAGAATTCATTAGTTTCTCTGATACTCTTGTTGAAATTGAGTTTGGATTATGGTTATGTTGACATGTTTGTATTTTCCTGTTTTAATACAACCTATGGAACTGTAGTATTTACATCAAAAATGGCCAAAATAAAAAAAAAAAATGTTCTACTATATATATATATCTTAACGATCCCGGCCGTAGTCCTCATTCCAATCGGTTACCAATAGTTAAATATCCGCGGTAAAAATTGATTCAATTATTCAGAACTTGTTATTTTGAAAATACCACTTACATTATAATTGTAACGAATCTTATCAATACTAAACTGCTTTTTTTCTAATGATAGATATCACGAAATTGAACCAATGTTCAAAAATCAACGGTGATAATTTAAAACGATTTATTAAAAAATGGGGATGGTAGGGGAAAACATGTTATATTACCTACGTGCTCGATTCACATGAAATTAACATTATAAATGAACGTCAATATTACGATTGCCTTGACAAACGAGAATGTCAATGCAAGCGAACAACTACCAACGCAGAGCAAAGAGAAATAAACAGATGTAGATCACGAAAATAATTTTAAAGTTATATGGTCAGCAATATCTTGTTGGAGAATATTTGTATATCAAATGTTTCTCAAATGATTCATTGAATGGGTTGTGGGTGAAGTTTGTCTTGACGCAGAAGGCGGAGACAATACAATTAATCGATCTTATCATAATAACTGAGTTGTGGTAACGCATAACGCACCATATCGTGCATATACCATCCGAACACAGGCGCTATACAGTATCAAAGGAACACCCATTTTGTGCGGTTGGGTAAAGAAGATACTTGTTATTTTGCATGCTGATATCCGTTGTTTTATGCCTTGTTCTCTTTTGTGAACGTGACATTACTCACTAGGATTGACCAACGTTAACATAGCAGGTGACGTCGATGAAGCAGAAGACGCTTACTCTTCCGGAACACCTGTTATTATTCTCCTTGTACCTTTTCTGGAGTCTACGTGTAAATCTTTCTTTTGTTCATATCTTTTCCTAGTTTTATTGAATTTGAGTTTGGATGATAATTGTGTTGACATGCTGGTATTTTCTTTTTGTTTATTTGGTTTTTTGTTTAGAATTTGTTTTTTGTTTTTTGTTTTTTGTTTTTTTTTTTGGTATTATTACGAACTGTTAAGTTTAAAGGAAACCTGTTGTAGTAATGATAAAATAGCATCACTGGAAAATTGATTTCAGACATACAGTTCACTATTAGTGACCAGCTTTATTTTAGAACTTTAATGAAAATCTTTAGCATATTCAAGTTATATAGTATAATCTTAGAGGAGACAATCTGAAAAAGCTGTACAAGAATTAGAAGATATGGGTTATGTTAATTTAAACGACTTAGCAAATAAGAAAAAAGGAACTTGAAGCGATAGGGATGCGCAAGACAAAGAGAAATATTGCAAGGTCTAGGGCAAAATGGATAGAAGAAGGGGACAAACCTATATCTAGGCTTGCAAAATAGAAATTTTACCTTCAAAATTAGTCCGAAGTTACAAAAACGAAATAATGAGATAATATCTGACCAGGATGAAATTATAAAAGAAGTTAAAGATTTTTATGAAAAAAAATATATGATGATTCAGATGATATAGAAATTGTTGATTCGAATGATTTTTATCCTATTGCAATGTCCCAAAATTAGATTAGAAGTTAGAAGGTAGTATTACATTGGAGGAAGCAAGGGAAAACTGTAAGTAAAATGAGAAATAATGAAAGTCTAGGTTCAGATAGGTGTTAAACAGAATTTTAATTTTTGTTTAGAACCAGATGGGTACATTTGTTGTTAGATCTCTTAACTTTGGATATTATAATATTACGCAAAAACATGGTATTATAACTTGTATTCTAAATGAGGACAAACCAAGACATTCCATTAAACATTGGCAACCAATATCACTTTTAGATATTGTTTATAAAATAGCATCTGAGGTTATAGCAAGTAGGTTAAAAACAGTCTTGGGGAAACCCATATATGATGATCAATCAGGATTTCTAGAAAGGTACTACATTGGTGACATCCTGACGGACACTCCACACCAGGGACACCTCATAGAAAATCTAATAGCAGGAGGTGATATTGTAACAGACATTAACCATCAGGGACACCACCCACCAAATGTTATAGTAGGAGATGACATCATGACGGACACTCAGCACTGTGTGACCAAAGTATGGAGATGTATCCGATATGCTGTATGATCCTGACTGTGTCCTGTGTGACCAATTTACGGATATGTACCCGATATGCCGTATGAACCTGACTGTGATTATACGAACTTATCAAAACCGGTAACAAAGACCCTTCAATGTAATTTTTATTTCTTTTTCAGATAGTTTGCTGACGTCTTTAGATAAGAAGATATTTATTGACCACGTTCACTGTATATACCCAACAGAACTTGAAATCAAAGACGTGACCGACTCTTCTTCATAAACTTCTAATCTGGATCTTTTTCTACAACGAAACCAACATGTTTTCCACCAAGCCGAATAATAAACGAGATGATTTCAATTTCCCAATTGTGAATATTCCTGCGTTTTCAACTTATGGCGTTTGTATGTCGCAGTTGATTCGATATTTAATGGCCTGTTCACATTATCATGGTTTTTATGCAACTGACGGACAAACTCGTAACACATTGTTTCATATGATGCATGTTCAGGAAAGTTATCGGGATTTTTATGGTCGCTATAATGATCTCATTGAGAAATATTCTACTTCTTTATGTTTTGAGAACGTGACATTACTTACTTGGAATAACATTAGTTTACATGGAAAGTTTCTTTAATGAAGAAGACGCCTACTCTTCCGGAACACCTGGTCTAATTATCTTTGCACTTTTACAGAAGTCGCCGTGTAAAGCATTCTTTTGTTTATGTTTCGCCCTAGATGTATGGATTTGTTGCAAGATTTACAGAACAAACGACAAAAAAGTTTCCTGTTTGACAACACATTTCATTTCGTTTCTGAACAATCTTTCTTCTTTAAACACAAAAGAAATGGAAAAACAAATCACTTCGCCGCAGCATCTAAATCAACTCCACTATATAATATATGATAATTTCTAGAATTAAATGAAGGCTAGTTTTCGAGTTCAGGATAAAAATTAACCAATTGACGTTTTTATCATTCAATTGAACACCATAAAACGTTTAGATTATATTTAACACTTAATGACGGCATTTCATTTCAATTTCGACTTGGAACTTTTACAAAATACTCAAGGTGTTCAATTCCTTGGCAACTACTTGTAACACTTCATGATGCCTTCTCTAAATGTACATTATAGTTGAATTCAAAACATAATTGACTTTAATTCCCATTTCATTGGAAAGAGGCGTGAGAATATTTTTTTGTTTGAACGGAATTTGTTTATGTCAAGCACTGCTGCAAATGATGGATTGTGTCCTTTTAACGCCGTGTTTTGTTATCGAAAGACACCAGAACGTTCATTATACTTACCTGATAATATATTTCATAAAAATGAAGTGTAAATATCAGTTAAAACGAGAACTATTCAAACTTCACTTTCACTCAGTTAGTAGGAACTCTTGTGGAACAAATAAAGAAGTAGAGAGAGAGGCAGGATCTATTGATCTCAATATGTTTAATTTGATACACATGATATTAAATAACTAATTAGCGACGAGTCAATGTTGACATTGTGTAAGATAGGCAGGAACAGCATTATGTTTGGTAATGGGAGGAATTGATACCGTGGGCTAATGAATATGGACAATAATTGACTTATTGGTTAATGGACCAGTGCACCAATCAGATTGGCAGTGGTTAACAGACAACGGTGCTATCAAAAACTTTTAAAACTATTAGCCATGTGAAAGAAGATGACAAATATCACATCACACTGATAATATCTTTGACTGATGCCTTTCAGTAAGACTGGACATTTCATATATAATTAAAGTAATTTTTAATATTTTTTTTTTCTTTTTCAAAAATGTGATATAGGCAATTCTTGTTTTCAATTGGAGGTAACGAACAATTTCGAGATTGTGACAGTGAATGAATCAATGTACATACATTATTGATGTTATACCCAATTTACAGTCAATAATAATTATAATAATAATCAACTAAAACATCTCGACCCTGGTGCTGAAAGTCGGAGCTAGTGACTGTTCCAATACCAACTCAGTGCGCTGTCAGTAGACCATACATAATAACGAATGATGAGCTATAAACAGTAACATAATGAATGTTATATGGATGTTTTCTAACAGAATGTGGTCAAACTATCTTATAAAAAACAATTTAGATTGGCACATTTAGACGAAAACATGCTTATCTGTATGCATAAACTTGAGGCTATATGCAGGCGCATTCAGAAAGGCTTGAAATGGCATATATACCTTAAATTTGTGACGTCAAAAATAATTAATTTGGATACAACAGGATCAAGTGGCCAAACACAATCCAGACAAGATGATAAGAATGAATGTAAGAAAAGTTGATCAAAACATGTCACCAACATTGTTAACATCATTATCTACACTTTCGGTATTTGACATCAATTTATATACGACAAATAAAACAATTGCTGGTAAATGTTGGAAAGGAAAAACATGCTCTCAAATAGAAATTTGTTTTGAAATACGGCAAAAATAAACATAAAAGCGGACATAACATGCCTAAAGGTTCAAAGATGAAATATGGTAATCACAAAATGAAATGAAATCTACATATGTATATATTTATATATCGTTTTTCGAATATATTTCCAATTAAACATAATCTTAATGAAATATCAACATGTATTCATTTCGTCTTTGACAGTTCTTCATATACGTTTGGTGCTGCTTTTCTTCCAAGAGCCTCATAGGTATTTCCACCCCTGAAATTCAAAATAATTCTCATCGACAGATAGTAAAACACCTTCAAAAATAAAAGAATATTGTGAGACAGCGAATAACACACACACACACACACACATACAGACAGACAGACAGACAGACACACACACACACACACACACACACACACACACACACACACACACACACACACACACACACACACACACACACACACACACACACACACACACACACACACACACACACACACACACACACACACACACACACACACACACTCAAACACACACACACATACACACACACAAATATATATATATATATATGGTAAGAAACAAAGTGATATAATGATCTGTAACTAACTTAACATTATTACCTGTTTTCAGCGCTCGTCAATTGGTCTGGGGAAAAAGAAATTGAAAATAATTATTGTTTTCCGAGCACACGCAGATTACTGATTCTGATACCGATGAATATAAATATATATGTAAAAAAAAAAATTTTTGGTTTCGATTGGCACTGAAGAAAAGTGCATTGATTACTTGAAGCAGTTTGAGGCAAGCTTGAAAATAATTATCCAAGTTTAATCTCTGGACAAATACTCAAGAATACAAAACAGAGAACATCTGCCTACATAAGTAATTGCACTTATTATACTCATCATAATATAAAATTTGACATATACATTGATATGAAACAATTGTCACACAAGCAACGTTGATAATACTTCTCCGAAGACAAAGTCAATCGTATTTTTCCAAATATTTTAACCATATCTATTATCACCTATTTCACTTTAAAATTTCATATCCAAAATTTATACAAATAAAGAATGTGCATACCTCGTTTGCGAATATCTTCATAAACATTTGGTGGACTCACATCATCAATATTGATACTTTCGTAAGTCGACAATCTAAAATAGAAATTTGATAGCTGTTGTTTTCCTTTGACACATTTCCCTGTTTTCGTGTATGATATAACATTGGTACAGGGATTGGCGAGTGTATATTGTCAGGAGGATCGGTAATTGTAAACTAAATATGTTCTTGAAATATTTACCGTGAATCATTGTCAGCGGAATGGTATAGATAATCTAGATTATGGTATTGGACTTTAATTTCACTTTATGTGATAAACCCAGACGACATTGGTTATTTACTGTGATTGCCCCGAACGAATGTTAATTCACTTACAATGATAACATTTTTATCGTAGAATCGAACACAATTTAACAAATGCAATATAAAATAAGAAGGCGTATACTTACTGATTAAAGTCGTTTTCGGTACCTAGAAACATAACAAATGACATAATAATTATAGCAAGTCAAGTTCAGAATCATATACAAATCTGTTATTGCAAATCTCTGCCTTGATATTTGGTCTATGTATCTAAGGTTTACTATAATTCGTTTTTGCTCTTTAGGAGATAACACCGTCTAGTTACCTTTACCGTCGTCTTGTCTTGTTTGTTGATTTTCCATTCTCCTCGCAGCGCCTTTCTTGAAACTGTCAAAAAAAAAAAAAAAAAAGACCCGAACGTTCATATGAATTACTATTACTGAACGTAATTTCTCTTCAGCTGGTGTCTGTCGTCCAGTTTTTCTCTTGTCAATTTTGATAAAAGCTGATGTAATGACCAAATTCTTTCATTTTTTCTAACTATTAATGAAATTTAATTTAAAAGCCATCACCAACATATATATACTGAAACGAATACGAAACGCAACTTCAAATTGTAGGTTTAATAAAATAATACTTGTGAGCATTATGTCTAAATTTCATATGTGATAGTTAATATTGAATATTGATGTAACATCCTCTAAATGTTTGGAGATTTTTAGGAAAAGGTCACTTCGCTAGAAGGTCATGATTGGTAGTACCCTACGTGAATCCAAGCTGAAATGGCAGCAGTTTTGAACCCGTGCCCTAATATCGTGTGTGTCCTCCTCGAACAGCTATAGCATCTCTAATTCTTCGTGGCATCGAGTTCATCAGGGCATTGACTGTCCGTATTGGAATGTTATTCCATTCTCGGACGAGTGCATTTGCTAACTGGGTGAGGGTATTTGGGGGGTTACGGCGATTGCGAATTCTTCTGTCTGGTTCATCCCACAATTGCTCGATTGGGGACAAATCGGGGCTATATGGAGGCCAATCTATAGGAACAATGTTCTGTGTCGCAAGAAAGTCTTTACAGACTCTTGCAATGTGTGGTCGCGCGTTATCTTGCTGCAAGGTTAGATGATGCTGCATAACAAACGGCACAACATGGGGCCTAAGGATCTCATCCCGATAGCGTACGGCCGTTAAATTCCCATTGACTATCACCAAAGGTGTCTTCAAACCATGGGAGATTCCCGCCCAAACCATAACTGATCCACCTCCAAATCGGTCATGCTCCAAAACACAGGCGTCAGCAAAACGTTCGCTTCGACGCCGGTACACACGTTGACGGCCATCTGCTCGAAATAACGTGAATCGAGATTCATTGGTGAACCTCCAAAGTCTCATAGGAAAACGTCTGGGCATATGTGCCGTCAACCATTGCATACGACGTGCTCGACGTTGCGGTGTTAGTGGTAAACCAACGTACTGTAGTCTTGCACGCAAATTAGCCTCACGCAGTCTGTTGATTACTGTTTGCGGATGAATCTGATGGTTATGATTACCAATCGTATTCCTTGCCGTTTCAGCAGCCGTTAACATCCTGTTACGCAAGTGTGCCAGCCTAACAGCCCGGTCTTGACGTCGCGACGTTACGCGTGGACGTCCTGATCTCGGCCGGTCAACGACTCTTCCTGTGGCGTTAAGACGTGAAACTAATCGACTAGTAGTCGATTTGTGAACTCTGAAGTGTCGAGCGACGTGCAGTTGCGTGCTCCCTGCCACAAGCATCGCGATAGCACGTCCTCTATCAACCTGGGATAACCGTGGCATAATTGTAAAAGGAATTATTGTTTGCAAAAGTATTGGCGATGATGTGTCGCGATGATACTGGTTTGAATACAAAAACAACGCATATGTTTGTACAGGCACGGTTTTTTTATGTTTTTACCGCGCCGGATGTGCATAGGTTTCTCGTCACACCTGGTTGATTTGGAACATTGGCTAGGGTGATAGGCAGGGTGCACTTTAATTTCCGCGATTTTTATACAGCTATGTATATTTAATACAAAATTAATAACAATTTTCCAAGTTGCGTTTTTTTTTCGTTTCAGTATAGATTACAGCTGAAGCGTTCTTTGAAAGCTATTGACGAAACTTTGTATGAACAAATAAGTAGATGATTCTGGAGAAGTGCTGTTGATTTCATGCTCCTAAGATTCAAGTCGTCACAACCAGTATTAGCTAATGGGTTATGAAACAATGATTTCTGATTGTATATGATATATATACAGAATGAAATAATACAAGATTTTTTTCTAGTCATTATGTCGATATTTACAGGATGAAGTTGATCGAATATTTGGTCTTGATGATGAGCTGCTGCAGTTTGTTAACGTAATTATACCCCTTTACATTTTGTATCAATCAGGATTAGCTGGTGATGATTACCCAAAACATCTACATGGTATATATGTCATGATTGCCGACCTATTAAGTCTCCTCTAAATACCTATATTGTACACATTCCATTCGAATAGAATACCGATATTTAGACACGACACTAAATGACCATAATAGTGTTAGATTACATCTTGAAAATATAACAATTGACACATTTGAATTTGAATTTTAAATTACGATTGACATCGATCAGTCAATACCATCCACATAGCATCATTGAAATTGAAGATCACGTTCACCTATGACATTTATATTAACATAAGTCTGTTGTGTGATTAATTGTGAAATCAAATGATAATGAATATCAATTAATATTATTTCACACGTTTGACCATCGCGCTTTGGTCAGTAACTTACTGACATCTAATATAACTTAAGGCGACATTGGCCTTTTTAATAAACAAAAAAGAGATTGTGGAAAATTGTTATACCGAACTGTATATATAAGTCATAGCTATCAGGTTAGGAAGTAAGCGGCCATTGACGGCTGTCGTAATATGTGTTGTTTTCATTCATACTTACCAGACTGAAGGTTTCCTTGTACCTTTGTAAACAGAATTAGTAAAGAATCTGTTAGCGGCAAACGTCTATTTATCAGTTGATAAAAAAAGAAGAAATAATTTGTTTGGCTAATACATTGCATTCGTTTAAGACAATACGATACATTATGAGGAAAAAAAGAAACGTAACATTTTAATGAAATGACATTAATTAGCAATATGTATACATTTGAAATTCAGTAGTCTTCACGAACAGTGGATAGTGACGGATATATTGAGTTATAAAAATCGACTCCCAGATTTAGATACAGTGATAGATGTGGTATACCTCTCTACGCGTTTCAATGCAGCTCGTATATTTTGTTTGTGTACTTTCAAAGAGAAATGACATACTAAATGATTGATGGAATATTTCGGAATCATTCGTTTTCTAGACGGAAGTAACAGGGTTTTCTTAAAGATATAAGATATAAACCTGGTTAAAAAAAAACAAAACACTTCGCCATGTTGTGCTATCGCCTGAATGGCAATTTAATCTGATTCCCAGAACATTGCATGAAGCGAAGCGATTGACACGTTTAATGTACCAGTCAATTTGATATGTATCAACACCGCTCTGGTTAAGTCTATAATGTCATTTTACCATCTATTAGAAATCACTAAATGACACTTACGGTATATAAAACACCCGGCCACTATGATAACAATCATCAGAGCGAGAATGGATGTCACAACTATGAGGGCCGCTCTTGTTGAAATCAATTCTTCAAGATCTTTAGACTGACAATCTGAAAAGCAAAAGTTTTATTTTGCTAATTGCAATGATGCGTTGCAGTTACAACGAAGGAAACAGAAATTGTGTTATTTTTATTGACAGTATCCTACATGTAAATAAAGTATAAAAATTTAGTCTTTAACCATTAAACAGGGTGCATTTTTTGTTGTTTTTTTTTTCTCTATTTGTCTGTCATATACTAACAAAAAAACGTTAAGGGAATTATCTAAATGACGCATTGTGATTTCAATTATTTTTGCGATTAATGTAATGCATGAGTGTTTCGATGTGCGGAAGAACTGTTAAAATCAACTGAACCTGGTTCATATGTTTTTTAAACATCAATGTGTTTTCATTTGACAATCTTTTGTGCAATCATTTGAAATCGTAGGACGCAATCCCGCATGTCACGGAAATAATTGAATAGTTCATATTTTCGTGCAATGGCCGTCTTTGAAAAATGACAAATATTAAAAAAAAAATATTGATTTAATTATATTAAGAGATCATCAATATTTATACGTTTACATTGCTACCGCACTATAAATGTATTATACATATCTACTCATGTTATGTTATTACTTTATTATTACTGAGAAATAATTGTTCATAGTTTCAGTTTTTGAAAAAAATCTTTTAATGCGAATGAAATATAATAGATGTAATTATTTACTTTCTGAAGTATTTATTGTGTCAAAATAAAAAATAATGATAATGAAAATAAAAGATCAATAACTTTCTTTTAACATCACACAACACATAATGGCATTTTGCTAGCGTTTTGACAGTCGTTCAGAAGTCTGAAGCTAAAGTGAATTTTGGTAAGAAGATCGATACTCATTTTTGACATCACTTCGATTTGCGCGAGTCCTGTGAATACACAACATAACAACCTGTTGATTGTTATGTGACGGACAGATAATGTTATAATGCATTTCACAGTATTTCTTTACACGCACTTGGAGTTGTTGAACAATTCAGGAATATCTTATCACTCGTGCCTATGCTGTTTTGTGCATATAATTGGATATAGTAAATGGTATCGGGCATCAATCCTTCGATCGTGTACAACATGACAGACTGCCGACTGTCCGGAATGGCGTCCAAGTTGACGAAGTCTTTGGTTACGTCAGATCTGTAGCCAATAACAAAGGACTCGGTCTGTCCTATATCCGAACTCCGGATCCACTGCACTGTAATAGTATTCCACGTTACTTGGTATTGTAACACATATAACGGCGGTGACGGCGGACCTGTAACATTGTGATACACGTGCATTAGAAGAAATTCAGCTTTGTGTCCATTAATTTCGTTCAGATTCATAAGCTGTGAAGTCAAGTGTATATTTAGTGGCAGGTTATATACATCGATGTCAGGAATTAATATCAAAAGTTTTCAATATTGAAATGTAAAAATTCTTATCAGTTAATTTTACTTTATAATCTCAAAATTAAGCGGAAATAACAGAAGACCAAGGCAAAACTGTCTCTGATCTGAGAAAGATCCATCATTACTTCTCTGATACGTCTCAAAGAAATTTATTTGCATTGTGCATTTTCTTTGGCGGACTCAAGCGTGGACCTTGAAGAAGGCTTTATTAAGTAAAAAATGGAATTGCTTAATACTTAATACACAATCGAAATTATAAAGATATATATCATACTGTACCTGTAGCGATAAGTGTAACAGTGTGATGTTTAACCCCAATCCGATTTTCGATTGTTACACTGTAGTTACCTAAGTCCGTAACAGACAATGAATTTATGTTCAGGACTGCCACATAACCTTGAATCATTACGTCAACGCCATGAAACGACGTCGTTATCAATCTGACACCAAACGAGATCACAAATCTATTAGGAAAAGATGACTTTTCAGCTGCTGCTACTTTAGTCCAAGTTATGTCACCAGCACTGAGTTCTGATCTGCTGTAGATCTCTACTACTATCGACACGCTGTTCTCTATTTCTCCTTCGACTATTGATGATTTGCTCACTACCACTGGGGGCGCTGCAATATAAAAAAAATCTTTAAAGATCAAGGAATCAGTCATTGTAAAATACATTTCCCTCTGCAGAAGATTTTGTGTCATGGTCGTTCTCTTTATGATTTACTATTTATCAAAAACATTGGCAGCATGTTTGCTTTTTAAGTGATATTAAGGAATATAGTAGCAAATATTGTGCCCTTACTTTTTTTTTTTTTTTCGGTATGAGGGAAACATGAAAATTAATTATTATTGTAACCAGTTAACATTTTCACATTACAAAATATCATCTGTCATTCACTTATGAGCAATTAGTGATCAAAAGGAAAGAGGAAAGGTAGATAATTATAGTAAAATATATAGAAAGACAGTATTGCTTTGATTGTATACACTTTAAAAGCAGATACATGATGGTGCACAATGTCATTTCATGCGTTTGATCCCAGTTAACAACAAGAGTTTAAGAGGGATCTTGTTGAAAATCATTCTTTGACCTGTGAACGGTTTCAAAGAATTTAGTACATACCCCTTATCGAGTCTGTCCCAGAGGACTGACACAACCCATTTATACTAAACTGATTCCTCTGCAGGCAATGATGTTTCTACATAATTGGTACATAATCCTGGCACAGCTGAAGAGGAGTATGAATAGAAATCATTTATTCTCTTAATTTCCCCTATTGGGTGCTGCCCCTGAGGTCTGAGACCCACAATTTACCCATGATTCTCATCAGACCAAACGGTGACAGAATTTGGGTTACAGGTTACGGATGAGATTTAACCTGCAATGGAGACAAAATGTTTAATCCTGTGATTTATCAATTTACAGTGATCATAGTTTCATGATTTTTTCGAAAGACTGTAAAGATTTATCTTACCTTCTACAACAAAGAAGACTGATCCAGACATGTATGAATTGGATACCGGGATGTCGTTGGAGGCTGAACATATGTAGTACCCTGTGTCCTCATACCGCCGTGTAATATCAGGATCAGGTAAGGTTAGGATCGACTCTGTGGAACTGGAAATTCCGGTAAACTGACGTATCACTGTACCATCTTCCGCCGTGTGTCGCCATTGTCCAAACTGGTACATTGCCGGGTTACCATCAGGGGAACATGTCAATATCCTGTCTGACGACATGTAGGTGACATTGACATAGCTGATATGTATGTCAGGAGGATCTGAGAACAAGATGTAGATATACAAGTACTTGCAGTTAAAGTCAGTAGAGAATTTACATGCAGACTTAATACAGTTGACAAACGATATTGTAACCTCTTAAACTTAAATGTATATAATAATTCAACTCACATAATTCTTTTTAAAATTCTCTTTCCTTTCCATTTCTGAAATCATTAATTTACAATTTATTGCTTCTCACAAAGTTACAGTTCAAAACTAATGGAAGATATGCATCTTCAGATGTAAAATGTTAACATCAACAAGCCCTCTGTTCAGCTGACTACACACTTGAAAGGTTTTCACATTTGACATATATATTTATCTACATTTGGCACTAGTATATAGTATTTGTTTATGGTGTCTGATTAAGGCAGGGACGACCATTAACTATATATTTTAGTCACTGTTACCAGATGGTATTATATAGTCAATATAATGTGTACAAACAAAATGTGTACTTATAATAAACTGCTGATAATAATATTTCGATATGATTATCGTAAACTGATAAAAGTGATAATTTTTCACTTAATTGACGTCAGCAAGTTCAAATCTGAAAATTGTGGAAACAATAAAGTTTTTTGGATACCATAATTAAGTATCAAGACCAAAAACGCATTTATTATTTATAGAAGGATAAACATTTGGCAAAATTAAGACTGATAACCGAGTTCTACTTTTGATATCCAATTTAGCCTTGTGCAAATCATGGATATCATGATTTCTGATGTTTCGTTGAATAAGCAATTTGTTATACATGCACGGAATTCATGTGTGGACAGACAAACCGACGTCCAGTAAAATTGGTAATCTTTGATGTAATATTGGGTCAAATACAGTTTTTGACAAGATATATGTTTCACAACATATTTGTGTTATTTTTCATGATTTACGAATGAATAAATTAACGTTTAAATGTATCAGATGTCAATATCCACTACAACTTGTTATACATGCAGGAGGCAAATATGAACTAAACCCTTGCGCCTAGTGCAATATTTGGAACTCCTTCTTTAGGGGTATATTTTAGCAATTCAGATATCTTATTTGTTCTCTTAGACAAATATTCTACTGAATATATCCTTTGTGACTTACAATGTATATCAATGACGAGACTGTCCTGTTGATTTCCAATGGGGTTCTCAGCTGTACACATATAAGTCCCACTGTCTGTGCGATGTAAAGAGGGTACACGTAAGACACCAGACGTGACATTAGCATCAGATGGAAGTTGACCTCCTGCCCTGAACCATATAACAGAGGATGGTTCAGGGTTACTTTCAACCACACATCTTATTACAAGATCTCTGCCCTCAGTCAACGTCGTTCCAGGTGTCGGTGTCAAGGTCAGGTATGGCCGGTCTGAAACATACATTTTAGTAATCAAAAGACGAACGAAATTTGCCTGAAAACGAGCACATATTTGGCTGGGTTCCCTACAACGGCATGGTACTGATTGCAAAAATGGATAGTTTTGTCAAAGTCTTAATCATTGATGATTCATTATCTTGCAGGATCCAGTACTTTGGCTGTTGCTGTTAGTTGGAATCAGTTTATGAGGATATTAGTACATTGGTATATTATTTATAAGTTGGATATATTCGTTTTTCCTCTCGTCTTTTCCTTGCATTTACTCTCCAGTATATGACGTGGTGGCCGGTATTTAATCCTATGGTAACATCAATAAACAAGGAAACCCTATTTATAATGTTATAAAACAATTGGCCCATGGGGCATGCATTTCTCAACTAGATGTTTCAGTTCTCATATAAAAATGTTTTATTCACATATATATTCATATTCACACCTGCAGTATGAATAAGTTTTTTGTTGTAATATATATTGTCACAAGTGAAAGAAAAACAAGGGCCATTTACACTTCCAAATACAGACAAACCAAAGTGCCTGCCAGGAAAAAACAATTTCATGCCATTGTAAAATTGAGTTTGGAACTGTGAGATAAAGTTTCCTGACAAATAAAATTTCAAGGCAAACAGACGAACCTCTTACACATACCATAAAACGGTTCCTTGAATATGACAGGTATACAAAAAATACAATCAGTGAAAAGATTAATAATAGATGATTGACAACATACGACTGACAATGGATGGTCAAATGTCGAACCGATATATGATAAACCGACTGTCAATTCTGATAATGGTGGGTCAATATATTTATATCAAAGGCCAGTTGAGGATCACAAAAGGTTTTCACTACATGACCCAGTAAGGTGTATACCACAGCATTTAAAACCAAAATTTGCACAGCTTATCTCATGAGAACTGCTTCTGGCCTTCTCTGCATTTTTATTTGTCATTACTTCTTTTACAAGAAGAGATGCATTTTATATTGAATAATATTGTAATAGGGTCATATTTTGTATATTGGTACTGATTCTTGTAGTATCTATATTTTGTATTGTAATATACATATATATGAATTTACTGGTTATGTACATATGCGTATAATTTATCATTGCGAACACATGGCTAGTGTCACATTTTATCTGTGCGCATAACGTTTATATGTATTGGCGAGCACATAGTGTATATGTATGTACTTGTGTACTTGAGTAGTGTTCACTGACCGACTGGACACAAGACATTTAATGAAGGTGTTTGATTGGTTGAAAGTTTCTCCTGGGTATACGTCTCTTGTCTTCTACTATATCGGGGTTCATTTGAATCCTGGCTCACGGGTAAGACGGGTGTTTAAATGTCAGGTTCCTTGGGTTTTGTCTTTATGGTAAGTTTTCTCTAACTTTATTTCTTTCTAGTTAAAGTATTTTGTTCTAATATATTCTCCCTGTGATGAGAGTTTGCATATTCAATGATATTTTTAACGGTAACTGAATGTTCAGGGTAATATTTGGAATCAACAATGTATAAGTGTATATATCCTATACTTTACGAATGTATAAGCGATATGCAATTCTTTGTTTGAAGTATTCTGTAAATTGAATAAGAGGGTTATTTCTTATTTGTAGTTCTACTATAAATGACGGATGAGGTGATATTGTGGAATGTTAGGAACTAATATATGACTTGTACGTTAGTGCACGATACGTGTTGTAAGTGTTTTTTTTACTTTATTACTATTGGAATGGTCATATTATAAAGTATTTTATTGGTTCTTATATGTAGAAGAATTAATATTGTTTCACTCAGTGAAATGTAATGTGTTAATGACAGAAGAGTATGGATATGTAACAAGAGATTTGTAAAGTTGTGATAGTATTTGACTATGTTTTATTGTATATTCCAGAATGTTTATTTTACATTGATTAAACATTGAACAAACCCAGCGGTTTTGGGGTTTTTTTTTTGGACAACACCACCCGCTTAAATATAAATTTCAAAGATGAGCAATAATGAAATGTAATGATACAGCCATATATTCTCTATCATCAAAAAGAATTGATAAAACTGAACGAAGATGAAATAAAAATAAAAAATTATATCCATCTGATAATAATGGAAAGTTCACCTATACAACAACAGGAAAATACCAAGATGTCAATGAAATAATAATCAAAAGTCAAACTTTATAAAACAAGAAACAAATATGAACAATAGAAAGATATAAACAGAAACTCCTGAATAAAGTACAAGGAGTATAAGACCATGTATTAGTGTAAGCGTCTTCTGCCTCAGCAATCTATGTAAGTAGTAAGTTACATTTTCAGGTAAAGTTAGCAAACCTTCATAACTTACATTGAATATCCAGCGTAACTGATGCTGACTTTCCACCAAGTGTCACATCCTCGTTGTGGACTACACACCCGATCACGTTACCGTCCTGGTATCTGTCAGGTGTGAATTGGAAGACCTGTGTAGATATCAAACCTCCGTAACTACCTGATGTGTTGGTGACAACTGCTGTGTTAGGTATCTGTGATGTACCATTGTACCATGTAATATGTACGTATCTGTTGTACTCCTGTGTTTTACAGGTCAAAGTCAGAGTATTGGTACTGTCGGCCACCACAACTCTGTTCCCCGTTATATCCACACTGTCAGGTCCGACTAGAACAGGACATGAAATAATTATGAATTATTATTATAATTAATTATGAAATAATATAAAGGTGACTTAAATAATATCCACCTTCAACTACATACTGTTTTCTTTGCGATGATTTCAAATGCAACAATTTGATAATAATTATTATATATTAATATATATAAGTCAATTATTATAAAAATGTATATGAACTTCCTACATTACTTGTTGTAGTGATTAAGGGTTGTTTAATTTGACTTAACAGGGTTTTATCAGTGATAAACTCGGACTGAAGTCAGCATGCCGATCGGTGAGGTATTTCAAATACTTCTAAATCAAAGCTTAGTCACTTAACCTCTATGATGGGACAAGACCAATAGGTAAAATCTGATATCATGGCTGTCTTTCTTTTTTAATATTACAATGAAATTGAGACCAGACCCTAGGGCCAATTCCTACATCATGATTGTGTTGATCTTGAAATCCTCAACTTTGCTAAACCATTTTCAAACATTTTTCTGATATTGAGCAAGCCCCTCCCCTCCTGCCTTAGGTGACCGAGATCAATCTTTTATACAAAATTGATTCTCCTTCACAAAAACATGACTCAGACCAAATTTGGGCAAAATCCAATCCTTCCTACATATTTGGTCCCACCTTTCTGCCCCAGGGGACCAAAGTCTGCCGTGTATTCAAAATTGCTTTCCATTCACCCAAAGCTGCTTCTGACCAATATTTGGTCAAAATCCCTGCAGATGTTCTTGACTAGTAGCATTTTGTTGAAAAAGACAACAGACGACAGATGCTGCGGTATCCCCTTAATTAACTTGGCACTTAAGGCTAGGTAAGCTAATAATCCAAGAAAACATTATACATTAATATCAAGGCTGGTCAATTGATATGAGGAGGTTAATTATGACACAAATATGTTCTAATTCATTAAATCAGTCCAATTATCTGCATGTTCAAGTTTTAATATCTTATTTTAATCAAA